GGGCAGACGACCAGGCCACTCAGCGGTCGTCTCAGGGTTACACCTTCAGCCTTGGCTCTGGCTCAGTTTCTTGGCGCTCTACACGCTCTTCTTCTGTTCTCGGCTCCAGTTGCGAGGCTGAGATCTACGCTACAGCCATGGCTGCCCAGGAGCTACGCTGGCTGACCTACCTGCTGACCGACCTCGGAGAGCCGCCTCGTTCTCCTCCAGTCCTGTACGTCGACAACAAGGCTGCCATTGCCTTGTGTGAGGAGCACAGACTGGAGCACAGAACGAAGCACATCGCCCTGCGGTACTTCCTTGCTCGTGAGCTGCAGCAGCGCGGTCAGCTTTGTATTCGCTACGTGGCCACTGAGGCCAACACTGCTGATGTGTTCACCAAGGCGCTTCAGCCTCGTGACCATCAGCGCTTCTGCACTCTACTAGGCCTTGTGCCTACTGGACCTCACTTACTTACCTCTTGACTTTGCTTGTACTGTGATCACTATATATATCTATACCTGCATGTTTACTCTTGCTAGGTTGTGATCACTGTATCTCTTGTTCTGTTATAAACCTGCATGTGAACTGGTCTTGTGACCACTAGCTTGTGCTCGGAATTTGTGTGGAATCCTTGAGATCCACCCTGAGCTTGCCTTCCTTTGCTTTGACTGGTCTTGTGACCCTGTGGTTGTCTCCCACTGCGCCTATGGGGGTGTGTCAAACATTATATGTTTATATGATTGTAGGCTGTAGTGGGTTACACCTTAGGGGGTACACTAGATTAGGGTTTACTACTTGTATCCAACTTTGTGCTAGTACAGTCATTCCAGTCCGTTATTACTGACATAGATTACCGCGCACTGAACGCCGCCACCGTCAAGAACAGATTCCCGGTGCCGAGAGTAGAGGATCTTCTAGATGCAGTGCAGGGCGCTAGAGTCTTTTCTAAGATCGACCTTCGTTCGGGTTACCACCAGATTCGCGTAGTTCCAGAGGACCAGCACAAGACGGCGTTTCGTACGAAGCAGGGGTTGTACGAGTTTAGGGTTCTACCGTTCGGACTGACCAACGCCCCAGCGACGTTCCAGACGCTTATGAACACCGTCCTCTCCGAGTTCCTAGGTTCGTTCGTTGTCGTTTACCTAGACGACATACTCATCTTTTCCAAGTCGAAAGAGGAGCACGTGCAGCACTTGCAGAGGGTCTTTGAGGTCTTGCGGAGGGAGAAGCTGTACGCGAAGCAGTCAAAGTGCGAGTTCTTTCTCCCCGAGGTCGAGTTCCTAGGACACGTCGTATCCGCTAGTGGCGTTAGGACCGACCCGAAGAAGATCGCAGCGGTACAGGATTGGGTAGCACCGACCTCAGTCAAGGAGTTGCAGAGCTTCCTCGGTTTCGCGAATTACTACCGTCGTTTCGTTCAGGGTTACGCTTCCATCGCTAGTCCACTCACCGACCTACTTCGGAAAGGCGTAGAGTACGTTTGGGGTCCAGCGCAGCAGCAGGCGTTCGAGCAGATGAAGCAGTCGCTCACGTCTTCACCGACACTGTCGTACCCCGATCCCACTCGCCCGTACGTTGTAGTGACCGACGCTTCCGATCAGGCCATAGGAGCAGTGCTTCTTCAGGACCAGGGACGCGGGTTGCAGCCGATCGCGTACGAGTCGCGTAAGCTTAGGGAGCGGAACTGAACTATCCGATACACGACAAGGAGGCGCTAGCGATCATCCATGCGTATAAGGTGTGGAGGTGCTACCTAGAGGGGGCAGACAGTGTTATACGCACGGACCACTGCTCGCTTCGCTTTCTCAAGTCGCAACCGCAGCTGAGTCGTCGCCAGGCTAGATGGATGGAGTTCATGGAGGGGAGCTTTCATTACAGGATAGAGTACAAGCCAGGCGTGCGCAACCCAGCAGATCCGCTCACTCGCCCTAGTTGTCAGCTCGCTAGCCTCACAGTCACTGCAGGCCATCCACTTCTCACAGCACTCTTCGAGCACGGTTACACAGTAGATCCCGACTTCACACCGCAGCCGCCCGCAGGAGCAGAGGTGCAGGGTAGTGTTTACATACGGAAGGGCACCACACGGATTTGGGTTCCAGCCTACCGCCCTCTTCGACAGCTCCTTCTCTCAGAGGCGCACGACGTAGTTAGTGCAGGTCACTTTGGAGCAGACAAGACGGCTAAGACGCTTAGTCGCACGTACTACTGGCCAGGGCTTGCAGCAGACGTAGAGGATTACATTCGCTCGTGCGACACGTGTCAGCGTACGAAATCTTCCCGCCAGCGCAAAGCAGGTCTTTTGCAGCCGATTCCACCGCCCGACCGCCCTTGGCAGGTAGTTACGATGGACTTCATCATGGCATTACCGCGCACAGTTAGGGGTCACGACGCGATCTTCGTGGTAGTGGATAAGTTTTCTCGAGCAGCGCATTTCATCCCCACGCACGGTCAGGTCACAGCAGAGGAAGCCGCGACGCTGTTCGTAGATAACGTAGTCCGACTGCACGGGGTTCCCGATTCCATCATTTCCGATCGCGACCCTAGATTCACCTCGAAGTTCTGGAAGCAGCTTTTCGCACTGTTTGGGACTCGCTTAGCCATGTCGTCTGCGTACCATCCAGAGACAGACGGACAGACTGAGCGCGTGAACCAGACCTTGGAGCAGATCCTTCGCAGCATCACGATGCACGACGCAGCAGCATGGGACAAGAAGCTGAGCATGGCTGAGTTCGCCTACAACAACACGCATCATTCCGCCACAGGCATGTCACCGTTCTTTGCACTGTACGGTCAGCACCCCAATGTCCCCACTCGTGTCGATCTCACACCCACCGTCCCTCGTGCGGACAACTTCCACCAGCATCTCACTTTCATTCATGATCACGTGAGGAAGCACCTTGAGCTCGCAAATGCACGCATGGCACGCACCACCAACCGCAGTCGTCGTGAGGTGTCGTTTTCAGTTGGTGACCGTGTCCTTCTCGATAGCCGCAACCTCCGACTGCCACAGGACAGCAAGCTTCGCCCACGTTTCATTGGTCCATTCATCATTGAGCGCGCACTTGGTCCCGCCGCATACCGCCTTCGCCTTCCCGCCTATTTCCGCATGCACCCATCATTCCACGTGTCTCTCCTTCGGCCTTACACTGATCCCAACACCACCTTCTCGGGCCGTGATCGCACTCCACTGCCGGTAGCTGTTGACACCGACGAGCCCGACTACCAGATCCAGCGCATCCTCAGGCACCGTCGCCGTCTGCAGGGAGGTGTCTCTTTCATCGACTTCTTGGTTCGTTGGCGTGGTTACGATGCAGCCGACGACAGCTGGGTTCCTTCGTCCTCGCTGTCTCCCGACAACGCTTGCCTCCAAGCGTACCTTCAGTCTGCAGGCGCCGCGGACGTCGCCTCCTTGGGAGGGGGGTAGTGTTAAAGGGGGATTTACTGTTCCCTTTGAACAGTACTTTCCCAACCCATCCAAGTCACCCTTATCCTTATCTTCTCAGATTCTCTAGTGCCACGTGGCACTCTACTTTTCTTGCACTACAATTCTTGGTCCCACAATCCACTTTCCAACCTTGTTTCTTGCATGCTATATAAACCTTGCTTGTATTCCCTCATATCAACCAATTCTCATTCAACTCTTCTTCAATTACTCAGTAACTCCTTCGCCTATTTCGCTAGTAGTTCTTTCGCCAAAGTCTTCCGCCGCGCTTCATCCTCGACTTAGTCGACCCCGCTAATTCTTTAGCGGATTTAGGCCAGCGGGCCTAACAATGGGGGTGTGTCAGAATGTGATGGTTGTCTAGCCTGCAGTGGGGTACTCTATAGCAAGTACAGCCCTTCTAGGGTTTGCTATATGTATCCCTATGCTTGTTAGTGAAAACTCCTCCTTACCTGTTGCTCGTTTCTGCCTAGCATTCCGACAGATATTGCTATACTAAAAGCTTTAGTCCCTTTTTTTTACCTTGAAGGCTGTGCGCAAGATCACGGATTCCAAGAAATTGGAGTCGTGTGCTTCTTAGCAGACTTTGAAAAGGACTTGGTCATGTGTGTTCAACAGTTTCATTTTGTTAATATCTATTCAATATTCACTGTTGTTGACAAAAAAATAATTTAAGCGTATCACTGTACCTTGAAGCGGAAGTCTCGAGGCAAATAACTGCTTTCCACGTGTCAGTTTGCTATTTCCTGCCTGTCAACGCTGGCAAGGCCCACCCTTTCCATGGCGGCTCGGGTTGTTCCGGGCTTTGGCAATTAAGACCCAGCAGTGCGGTGTTCTCAAAGCAGCAGATCTCCATAGCGCCTCGAAAATGACACAAGCGGGCCGCCATGGGGAATTGTAATTACACGCGTCTTCCTTACGCTTCTCCGCACATCACCTTATCCTGAACTTGCAAGCCGCACTAATCTCAATGCTTATCCTGACGAGATGAGTTCTCTACTTCTCGCTACTGCTGTCTAGGCCTGAATAGTGGACCCAAGGTCCCCAAACAACCCACTCATAGAAGCCCCAAACCAGCCTCGAGTTTCGCTCTTTTCCAGATACTTGCTTCTGACGTCTCTTCCTGTCACGTGCTCCTCGTGAAGTTTGTCATTCCCAATGCTCGTCAGTCTACTTTCTCATTCTCTTCCTTACTAGACGTCTCTTGGTTGCCTCTTTTTCGACTAGTCCGACCTCGAGTAAGATCTCGGCGTAATCGAGGGGAACACAGAAGGGATCTCTACGGAAAGGAGACTCTAAAGGCCACAGCTTATCGGTCTTGAGCCTCTCGTAACAACCGTGGATATCGGAGGATAAAGGCTCTTTGGGTCTGGCTTCCTCTGGATCTTGTCACTGCTCTCTCGCGCCTGTGAGCGTCTTTTGAGATTCGCAATTTGGTCACGAGATTTGGTTTTCTCGCGCCTTTGATTCACTTCATTTTACTGCGTATTGAAAGATTCTGTGAAGTCTGAAGATTCCATAGTCGTATGTGTTTCTGAGACTAGCGAGTATGTCCGTGGCAGGGTTTCTCCGTGTAATGGACGCGTCCGTGCCGCACACCCATGTCCAGGAGCACGCGTCGACTGCGGCAGAGGCACTCATGGAGCTCGGGTTCCGCTCCACTTCGTCGGAAGAGATTGACGACGATTCTGAGCGGACAGTTGAACGGGCTGTTGCTGAGCCCGAGTCAGGGAATGATGGTGATGAACGGGCAGATTTACGGGCGAATGAAGCGGATGGTACCCGGACAGTAGAACCAATTGCTGGAGGCGGCACTGAAGCAGTGACACCGAGGTCTGCGGAACAAGACGAGAAGCATCATGGTCAAGACGCGAATCTCGATCGCTCCGCTGCGGATGAGTCTCAGGAGGGAGTGGAGGCGGCCGTGCTGCTGGAAGGTGGAGAGGGAGAAAGAAATGAGTTTGACGCAGAGCAAGGCGACGTTGACAAGGATTTGCAGGCTTCAAACGTCGCGGAGGAGGATGGGGAGAACAATCCGGGGCGTGATCGAGAAGGGGGGAACGTTAAGGTGGGCGGTGAGGAGAACTTCGGGAACGTCGCCGCGACTGGGGAAAAGCAACGTGGCACCAAGGCTTTGTCCGTGCCTGAGAAAGCATCACCCGTGCGTGGCCGCTCAGATAGCAGCTTGCGGCGCGCGCAGGAGCACCACGTGGCGACGCGGAGCAGCAACAGCCCTCTCACTCCCGGGGGCGCGCAAACGCCGCAAACGGCTGAGGTCAAATCCGTGCAGACGCCTTCCACGCAGCCGCCGCAGCATGCGCAGTCCGGGCTGACGACCGTCCCTGGAGTGCCGATTCAGCCGGCCGTTCCGTTACATGGTAACCCTGCCCTCAGCTTGGAGTCGTTTTGCACAAAAGACATGTAGATTTAGCCTACTGGCCCTCGTTTCCCGCATGGCGAAATCCATCTTAGTTGCCCTACTGGTAAATCAGGAAGTCGTCTGGATGACCCCACTGGACAATAACCTTTCGATTGACACTCCCGTTGTTAGCCGATTCATTTCAAGTCTCCTCTCCCCCTGTGCGTTTGTCTTCCTGTGCAATTCCCGCGTGCCCCTCTGCTGCCAGCCTCTGACGGCGCGCTGGTGTCGCTCGTCCCGGCCGCCTCCGAGGACGGTCAGTTTCAGTGGATCCAGCCGCCGCAATTCGTGGCGGCGCCGCAATTCATGGCGGCGCCGCAATTTGTGGGCGGAGCGCAACTTATGGGCGGGGCGCAAATCTTGGGCGCGCCTGGACACGGCGGAGGACTGATGCCCGCGGGACCTGTGTCGTTCTTCCGCACATCGTCCTTCACCACTCCTGTTTCCGCGACGGGAATCGAGGGAACGTTTGTGGGGAACGATGGAGTCAACGCCACCGCGCGCGGCGTTTCCGGGGATCTGTTCGGCGGGAACGCGGGGGACGAGATGATAGAAGGTTCGTTGGACGACTTAATAATCTGCACTCCCACAGGCGGGTTTCCCAGCGGGTTTCACGGGCAGATGGGCTGGGGAGGCGAGCGAACGAGCCGAGCGGGACGACGCACGCAGCTTTGGGAGGGCGACCCGCAGCTGGTGTACCGTTTGCAACAGAGTTACCACACAGACGACTCCGCCGCCGCCGACACGAAACTCGACCCCGCAACCATTGCCATCACCGGCGCCGAAAACGCTTTGATTAGAAACGATTCGATAAGAGGCGACGGGGGCGAGGAGGAGGCCTTGCCCGCAGAAACTAGAGGTAATCAGGAGGCCTCCACGCCCCCAGGGATGGGACCAGAATCCCGGGATGTGGCGCAGTCGACGGCGACAATGGAGAGTTATCGCGGAGCTATGGCGAGCGGTCAGCTGCCGTTGCATGTGAAAGTAGAGTTTCCGACTCCGTCGCCTAGAGGCGGCCTACCGTCGCCAGGCAGGGGTGGACTTGCCTCCTCGTCTCCCAGCAATCGCGGGGGACTGGGGTTCTCGTACCACTCGCCGATCCCGCTGTGCTCGCCGTCGCCGCTGCGACTGTGTGCGATGGAGCTGGGCGACATGGCGGAGCCGAATCTGTGGCTGTCGCCGCCCGCCAGCACCAAGTATACGCTCGACAAGCTCGGCGACTTCCCGCCCTTCTCGCCGCGGCTTCCCGCGATCGTGCGCGGCTACAGCGGTGAGTTCTGTGACATGTCAGCATCACAGCGAGTTTTTCCTTCCTCCTTTCTTTGTTCTTTCCGTAAGGCAGCAGCAGTTCACGACTCACAAGGCGTTTCGTGTCTCTGACGGTTGGATCGTGTGTGGCAGCAGCAGCCCTGCCGTACCTGGATCCAAGCGCGCACCAGCAGCCTTCCATGATGTCGCCTTCCAAGGGAAAACCGCCCGGATCCGCCCCCCCAGAATCCGCTCCACCGCAAGCGCCTGGCGGACCAACCGCCGACAGCGCAGAAAACCCGCCAGTTTCCGCTTCCGCTATGGGTTCTGCCGCCCCCCAGTCCGGTTCTCCGCGGGAAGCCAGGCGGGGAACGGCGGAGGATGAGGGAGACGCCGCGCGGGAAGATGGTCAGGCTGCGCGGAGGGAGGACGAGGCGATTGATTCAGCGGGCGCGAGGCGGGAGAGTGGGGCGGCGGGATCAGCGCGATTGGTTAGTAGCGGTTCGCCAGGGAGCGGAGTGAGATATGGCGGGATGCGCGGGCGGTCGCTGCTACAGCAGTGCCTAATCATGGGCGTAGAGCAACGCGCCTCGCGCGCCGTAACGGTCGCTGGTGCTGGCGCTGCTGCTGGTGCCGGTAGCAGTGCTGCTGCTGCTGGTGGTGCGGGGGGCAGCGCTGCTGCTGGTGCTGGTGGTGACAACGCTTCCGGGCTCGACCGCGATGTTGAAACAAACGAGACGGACGATCAGGCCGAAAAGACCGACAAGAACGATAGGAGCGAGAAGAACGAGAAGTCTGGCCGTGAAGTGCACGACCGTGCGGCGGGATGGAGTCCTTCGGTGTTGAAATGGAGAGCGGTGGGGTGGGATGGCCGTCGGCTTGGCGAGCAGCGTGACGTGCGAGCACAGCAGGAGAGGTCGGCTCTTGGTGCTGCAGTCTCGAATTCCACGCACGCCTCTACTCCACCGCTCTCGCCTCCGCAGGGCCCGCGAGGAGAATCTGCCAGTGCTGCTGGTGCTTCTGGGGTCCGTGCTCATGGCGAGGGAGAAACGAATGTTGGTGGTGGTACGGATTGTCTCAGCACGGAAATGGGTGGGCAGCAGTCCCAGCAGCACGTTGGTGGAATTTCAGGCGAGCAGTTCTGTCGCGAAAGCGATTCTGCGAAACATGGCGAGAATTTGTCGCGGGCGAATGTTACCTCGGGAGGGAGGTCGTTCGTGGTTGGCTCGTTAGGCTCAACACTTACGGAACGAGTCAGTGTACTGGAACTCGAGAACAAACAAACAACGCGTGCGGGCAATAGCGAGGACGGCGCGACCAACACTGCAAATTCTGATGGGCCCAACTCCAGTGGCAACAGCCGCTCATCGTCGAATCTCGACAGCCGAAGCGCGGACTCGAACGACGAAGACGACGGTGAGGATGGGTCGGGAGTGGTGGAGAAGGAGGAGGGCGCGCGGGAGGAGGACGGGGGAGAGAGCAGTTTATCGGGAAAAGCCGCGGCAGCGAACAGCGCTAAAGGCGGCGACGACCGGCGCGATGCGAATCTGGGTGATGGGGGTGATGGAAGCAATGGTGACGACAGAGCGAGGCTGACGGCGGACGAAGGTGATCAGGCGTTGGAGTCACCGGCGGACGAGCCGCCGTCTGTTTTACCGGCGGGCGCGGAACGTAGGCGCGCGGAGCGTACGGGCGCTGAAAGGGAGGGCGCGGAAGGTAGATGCGCGGAAAGCAGCCCAAACAAGGGCTCCGCGGGCTTGGTGAGGCCGCAGCCGCGCAGGGCGCGGAGCGGCGATCATGCCATCTCCCCGTCCTTCTCGATTCCTGTATCTCCTGTTTTTGGATCCCCCTCGATTCCCGCATCCCCTGTTCCCAAAGTTTCCCGCTGGGGGGCGCCTGAGCGGAATGCGCCTCAATCCGCTGGCGAGGGGCGTGCGGCGGCGCAGGCGCCGGCGCTACAGCCTGCGGCGAATGTGCGCCTAGTGCAGGCTGCGGCACAGTCACATTCGGAGAAGCACCACGAGCATGGTGAAGCAGGGGGGCGGGTTTTCGAGTCTACGTCACAATTGAGTGGCGGGAGTGAGGGGGGTGGGAGAGGTGCGCGTGAGGGGGCCGTGACGTCAGGAGAAGCAGGAGCGAATCCTTCCAGGGCAGGCGATGGTGCAAAGCGCGCCAAGTCTCAGGAGAGTGGAAGAACTGGAGGGAATGTAGGAGGCGGTGGAGGAGGAGGAGGATCACGAGGTGGAGCTGATTCAGGGAATGGACGTGGTGTGAGCGGGACTGCAACAGCAGGTGGGAGTGGTTCCATTGTTCCTTGGCATCCCAGCAGCTCACCTGCAGCTGTTAATGGGCCTGCTTGTTTGGGGTTTCCAGTGTACTCGCCGCAAATGCCTCCCATTGGGAGCTTCTTTGTAATGAGCCCCCTCCCACAGCAGCATATGAGTCCCATGCAGCAGAACTATCAACTGCTACAGCAGCAGCAGCAGCAGCAGCAACAGCAGCAACATGAGCAGCAGCAGATTCAGTTCTCCTTGCAGCCCCAGCAGCATCAGATCTACTCCGTGGCTCCTCAGCAATACTTCCCTCTCCCGCCCCAGCAGCAGCAGTACATGCACCCCCCGCCACATGCCCAATCCCCGCCTACGCCCCTGCCCCCACCAAGGCCCCTCCCCATGGTCGTGGCTTCTCCCCTTCGCCACAGGTCCCAGCGCCTCCCAGGCTCTCGTGGGATGCAGGGGCAGCACATGCAACAGGGCGTGGGTACAGGGGGTCCTGTTGCTGCCTTGGCACCAGGAGCGTATTCTCAGCCTGTTGCTGGTGCTGCTGCGGCTGCCATTGGTGCTGCTAGTGGTGGCGCTGGCGGTGGTGCGTCGGGTGGTGGTGCGGGTGCAAGTGGTGCGTCCTCAGGTGGTGCCTCTGGAGGGGGGGAACGGGGAGGAGAGAGGGGAAGGCGAGAGGCAGGAGTCGAGGAAGGGCGAGGGGAGGGAGGGCGAGGGGGGGAAGGGAGAGCTGGTGAGGTGTCACGAGGAGCACGAACCCCGTCCCCTCAAACCTCTGCTAGCGCATCCCTGCGCCCTTCCCCCGTGCAGCCCCCACCTCCCCCTGTCTACTCCCCAGCTGTTGCCTCCTGGGTGCCCTTCGCCCTGCCCCCTGCTGCCTCTGCCGCCCCAGAAATGGGTAAGCTTCCAGTTTACCCTGTAAAACCTGGGGTACACAAGGCGCACATAGGGACAAGGAATGTTTTAACGGATGGGCGTTTTTCACGCGAGGAGCAGCAAGCAGAGGAGCAGCAGCGGCAGCAACAGCAGCAGCAGCAGCACCAGCAGCCACAGGCGCAGGTGTTTCAGCAGCAGGCGCTGCTAGTGCCAAGGCCTATGGCAGTGGTGGGTAATCAGGCACAGCCAGTAATTTCCGGACAGATGCGGGTAGCACCGATGATTGCACCAGCATCGGCATTAGCAGTAGCATCATCACAATTAGCACCACCACAAGCACCACCACCACCAGCGGCCGGAGCACCAGTGGCAGCAGCAGCAGCAGCAGCAGCGGGAGCAGCAGCAACTTCCCGCCCGGTGTCTCTAGCCCTGTCTCTGCAAAACAGCAGCAGGAGTGGTGGTATGACTCGGCCGACTCTCGGACCTCAGCCAATACTCTCTGGGGGCCAATGGGGCCCCAGGTCCTCCCAGCCGACTGCTGCTTCTGCCCCCACCGGATCCATTTCTGGCGTGCAAGTAACGCCCCCTGGTGCGGTGCAGGGTGGTGGTGCGGTGCAGAGTGGTGCGGCAGGGGAGGCGTGGAAGCAGAGGCAGTTGCAGGCGCATGAGCTCAGGCGGCAGAGGGTGCTGAAGATGCATCAGCACCAGCAGCAACAGCAGCAGCAGCAGCAGCATGCGCAATCGCCCACGCAGTTCCCGCAGCTGGCTGATTTGCAACAGCACATTCAAAAGCAGCAGCAGCAGCAGCAGCAGCAGCAGCTCCACATGCAAAGTCAGCGACTGCAGCTGCCGACTCAGCAGCAGCAACAACAACACCGCCGACCATCACAGCAGCAGCTGGGGCAGGTGCAGGTGCAGCAGCGGCAGCAGCAACAGCAGCAGCAGCAGCAGCAGCAGCAGCAGCAGCAGCAGCAACAGCAGCAGCACATGCAGGTGCAGGTGCCAAGGCTTGCGGTGGGGGTGAAGCAAGAGATGGTGGAGCAGGGCGGGAGCACAGACTTTCACTATCACCCACACTCCCAGACAGCTAGTCAGGGAGATAACCAAGGGCTAGCTGGCAGGCAGGGCGGAGTGGAGGGAGAGAGAGGGCAGCAGGGGGGCAGGAAGGAGGGCAGTCTAAGGCACTTGAAGAGGAAGAGGGCGCTCAAGGAGGTGGACGGTGGGGGAGGGCCGGGAGGGGTGGCTTTGAGGGCTTGTAGCAGCGAGGGGGAGTCGGGTGGTGGGTCTGCTTATCAGCAGCATTTGGGTGCTTCTCAGCAGAATCCGGCTGCTTATCAGCAAAATCAGGGTGCTTTTCAGCAGCAAATTCTTCCTGCTTATCAGAACCAGCTGCCACCTTATCAGCAGCAGGCTGCTTATCAGAAAAATCCAGCTGTTTTTCAGCAATTCCCGGGTGCTTATCAGCAGCAACAGGCGGTCGCAGGGCTGGAAACAGGGATGGAGGCGAGTGGCCATCCCGCTGACGTCATGGAGGGGAGGGATCAAGAAGATGACGTCATGGATATGCAAATTGAACTGGATGGATTGGGTGATGAGGGTATGTGCGCCATGGGGGAAGGGGGTACATGCGGCATCGGGGGTGGGGGAGGAGATGGGGGAGTGGCATTGGTGGGAGGAGGGGAGGAGGTGAAAGAAGCTGTGAGCGTGGCAGGAGTGGGGGGAGGAGCTGAGGTGGAGAGGGACCCCCCTGTGAAGTCGAGGTTCAGGGGCGTGAGTCATCACAGGTCAGTGCTGAGTCATCACAGGTCAGTGCTGAGTCATCACAGGTCAGTGCTGAGTCATCACAGGTCAGTGCAGAGTCATCGCAGGTATCCGCTGAGTCATCATTGGGCGGCTGCTCTATCCTCTTCTCCTCTCGCCCACATTCGTCTCTCTCTGACAAGGCAGTGGGAAGGGTCAGTGTGGTCTACTTGTGCAACCATGACTCACCCCATCTTCCCCCATCCCTTTTTCCTGGATCTCTCCCTACCCTCTGCCAATCCCGTTTTGGCTTATTGCCTTGGCCCCATAGGCTGACCAAGCGGTGGGAGGCGTCGCTGTGGACCAACAAGAAGCAGCTCTACCTGGGTGAGTGGGCGAGGGTGAGTGGGTGAGTGGGTGAGAGTAAGTGGGTGAGAGTAAGTGGGTGAGAATAAGTGGGTGAGAGTAAGTGGGTGAGAGTAAGTGGGTGAGAGTAAGTGGGTGAGTGGGTGAGAGTAAGTGGGTGAGTGGGTGAGAGTAAGTGGGTGAGTGGGCGAGAGTAAGTGGGTGAGTGGGTGAGAGTAAGTGGGTGAGTGGGCGAGAGTAAGTGGGTGAGTGGGTGAGAGTAAGTGGGTGAGTGGGTGAGAGTAAGTGGGTGAGTGGGCGAGAGTAAGTGGGTGAGTGGGTGAGAGTAAGTGGGTGAGTGGGTGAGAGTAAGTGGGTGAGTGGGTGAGAGTAAGTGGGTGAGTGGGTGAGAGTAAGTGGGTGAGTGGGCGAGAGTAAGTGGGTGAGTGGGTGAGAGTAAGTGGGTGAGTGGGTGAGAGTAAGTGGGTGAGTGGGCGAGAGTAAGTGGGTGAGTGGGTGAGAGTAAGTGGGTGAGTGGGTGAGAGTAAGTGGGTGAGTGGGCGAGGGTGAGTGGGTGAGAGTAAGTGGGTGAGAGTGAGTGGGTGAAAGTAAGTGGGTGAGAGTAAGTGGGTGAGAGTAAGTGGGTGAGAGTAAGTGGGTGAGAGTAAGTGGGTGAGTGGGTGAGAGTAAGTGGGTGAGTGGGCGAGAGTAAGTGGGTGAGTGGGCGAGAGTAAGTGGGTGAGTGGGCGAGAGTAAGTGGGTGAGTGGGCGAGAGTAAGTGGGTGAGTGGGTGAGAGTAAGTGGGTGAGTGGGCGAGAGTAAGTGGGTGAGTGGGTGAGAGTAAGTGGGTGAGTGGGTGAGAGCAAGTGGGTGAGTGGGCGAGAGCAAGTGGGTGAGTGGGCGAGAGCAAGTGGGTGAGTGGGCGAGAGCAAGTGGGTGAGTGGGCGAGAGCAAGTGGGTGAGTGGGCGAGAGCAAGTGGGTGAGTGGGCGAGAGTAAGTGGGTGAGTGGGCGAGAGTAAGTGGGTGAGTGGGCGAGAGTAAGTGGGTGAGTGGGTGAGAGTAAGTGGGTGAGTGGGCGAGAGTAAGTGGGTGAGTTGGCGAGAGTAAGTGGGTGAGTGGGTGAGAGTAAGTGGGTGAGTGGGCGAGAGTAAGTGGGTGAGTGGGTGAGAGTAAGTGGGTGAGTGGGTGAGAGTAAGTGGGTGAGTGGGCGAGAGTAAGTGGGTGAGTGGGCGAGAGTAAGTGGGTGAGTGGGCGAGAGTAAGTGGGTGAGTGGGTGAGAGTAAGTGGGTGAGTGGGCGAGAGTAAGTGGGTGAGTGGGCGAGAGTAAGTGGGTGAGTGGGCGAGAGTAAGTGGGTGAGTGGGCGAGAGTAAGTGGGTGAGTGGGCGAGAGTAAGTGGGTGAGTGGGTGAGAGTAAGTGGGTGAGTGGGTGAGAGTAAGTGGGTGAGTGGGTGAGAGTAAGTGGGTGAGTGGGTGAGAGTAAGTGGGTGAGTGGGTGAGAGTAAGTGGGTGAGTGGGTGAGAGTAAGTGGGTGAGTGGGTGAGAGTAAGTGGGTGAGTGGGTGAGAGTAAGTGGGTGAGTGGGTGAGAGTAAGTGGGTGAGTGGGTGAGTGGGTGAGAGTAAGTGGGTGAGTGGGTGAGAGTAAGTGGGTGAGTGGGCGAGAGTAAGTGGGTGAGTGGGTGAGAGTAAGTGGGTGAGTGGGTGAGAGTAAGTGGGTGAGTGGGTGAGAGTAAGTGGGTGAGTGGGTGAGAGTAAGTGGGTGAGTGGGTGAGAGTAAGTGGGTGAGTGGGTGAGAGTAAGTGGGTGAGTGGGCGAGAGTAAGTGGGTGAGTGGGCGAGAGTAAGTGGGTGAGTGGGTGAGAGTAAGTGGGTGAGTGGGTGAGAGTAAGTGGGTGAGTGGGCGAGAGTAAGTGGGTGAGTGAGTGAATATTGTGAGCGGAGTGAGTGGTTGAGGTTGAGTAGGGTGCGCGAGTGAACATGAGAGTGAGCACGTGAGTTCAAACTTTGTTGCACTCCACAGACGCTTGCACTTTCTGAATTGACCCTGTGTGGTTAGTTGAGCCGGACAGTACAACATGGCTTTCATGCAGTTTTGGCTATCTTGCCCACAAAGCTGAAGGCGGAATCTTGTTGACTGATTCTGTCCATCCTATTTCCGTACCATCCCCATGCTGTGTATTTGTTTCCTCACAGGTGGGTATGATGCAGAGGAGAAGGCAGCGCGGGCGTATGACATAGCAGCACTGGCGTGCAAGGGAGCAGAGGCAATCACCAACTTCCCACGGGAGAGCTACGCAGACAGCATCGGGGAGTACCTTGGGATCTCCTGCGAGGCACTCATTGCGAAGCTGCGAAGGGAGAGCTCGTGAGTTGCACAATCTATACCCAGTATGCTCTCAAGTTTCATTTAAGTTGACTCATAAGTCAGCATTGGGGAGCATCTGGGGATCTCCTGTGGGGCTCTTGTAGCGAAGCTGCGAAGGGAGAGCTCGTGAGTTGCACCTCATGGTCCTCTCTTTTCAGTTTTGGCATTGTGCAAAATATTTTTTTTATTATATAAAAGTAAAACGTCGTCTTAACAATAATGTTGCCCTGCCCCTCTTCCGGTCCCATCCTTTCCTCCTCACTCACTCAGCGCCTTTTCTCGAGGACGATCCAAGTTCCGCGGGGTGTCAGGGCAGGAGGGGCGGTGGGAGGCACGCATCGGGTCGTATTTCGGGCGGCGGAACGTGTCTTTAGGCGTGTATGAGACGGAGGAGGCGGCAGCAGAGCAGTACGACCGCGCGCTGATAATTCAGAAGGGCACGCGGGCTAAGACCAACTTCTGCATCTCCAAATACATCGCCGAGCACCTGCAGCACGTGAGTGTGCGTGTGAGTGTGAGTGTGCGTGTGCGCGTGAGCGTGTCTGAGTGCGAGTGTGAGTGTGCGAGGCGATCAGAAGGGCACGTGGGCCAAGACCAACTTGTACATCTCCAATCACATTGCCGGGCACCTGCAGCACGTGAGTATGCATGTATGAGTATGACTATGACTGAATATGGACATCACACATGCACATGCACATGCATATTCACATGTATGCACACATGCCTTGCCGTGTACATGACTTGTGTGCGTGATGTACTTCAACCTTCTCCTTTGGTGTTCTTTCAGGAGCAAGGGCAGGAAGGGACACTGTTTCCCAGCCAGCAGCAGTCGTCAGGCAGCAGAGTCTGCCTTTCCACCACCACTGGAGCACAAGTCAGCCTTGGAGTGGCAGGAGCAGCAGCAGCACCACCATCATCATCTGCTTACCCATTGTCAGCCGCAGTGGCAGCAGCAGCAGCTGCCGCAACAGCAGGAGGAGGATCAGCAACTGCGGACGGGCATGGTGGAGTGCGGTTCGGAGGGGTGAAGAAGGGTCGAATCACTCCGGGATTTGATGCGCTTTACCGCCGAGCGATGGCAGAGATAGTGGCTGGCTCAGCCCTGCCTTTCCCTGTGGATGACCCAGAGGGTAGACCTGCTGCGGAAGAGTGATGGCCCTGCTGGGGTTGGGTTGAGTTCGGCTGAGCTGAGTTGAGTGGCGTTTAGGGTGGCTTGAAGGAAAGTGGCTGGTGGGGAGTTGTTTAGTGGCGAGTTCCAGTCATGCTTTTGTTGCCGAGGATATGGCAGGCCTGCTATGGAAGGGTGGCTGTTCCACTTAACAGACGCTGGTGGCAAGACAATGACTGGTTGGAGGGCCAGCATCATGGTCTACACACAATCCAAGACAGCTTCACTCACACCATCTGCACACATGTTTAGCCACATTCAATGCAGCTTTCGAAGTACTGTATGCAGTGTATTCAATTCGTTAGTTGCTTCTTAAATTTGCATTTTTCTAATGTGAAAATCCCTTGAAGTTTTGTTTGATCTGTACTCCGGTCTCTCTGATGTGATCAACAACCAGCTAGATCCGCTAACCATGAGTCACCCATGTGAGAAGAGATGATGGGATTGCTGCTCGATAGCTCCAACGCTGCTGCTTCTATTTCTTGCTCTTGTGTGACTCCCAGCCCAGTACAACACAGTGCTACTAAACCATTAAGAAACCCACATCGACAGTAATTCGTCAGATGTTTTATTCTCCTTCCGCCTTGAGTATAGGCACCACAAGAGGATGCATCTGTGCCATGTACACAATCGCCCACCTGTTCAAGTTCACGCACATACCATAAGATCAGAAAACACAGAATGCAACCCTGATGAATGAAAATACAGAAGATCAAGGGAATTTCCTGATGGAAGGACTCTCACACGTTATCCAGGCACATGACCCACATACAAACATGCAACCTGGCCGCATGGCACTGGGACACATGATTCAGGCATGATGAGAGACATGGAAGGGAGGCGGGAATCGTGCGAGGAGCATAAGCAAGCTAGGACGCAGTTAGAAGGGGCAGACGTGGGCTGTGTGAAATTGGCAATGTGAGAATCGTCAAGCAGCAGAAAGAGAGGGCTCAGAGAGCAAAAGTAGATGCTTCTGCAGCGCTGGCTTGAGAGCAGAGAGCCGGCAGCAGATGAATTATGCGTGGAATCGAATGCCATCTCGTTACACTAAAGGCTTGAGATCACTCACGAGAGCCAGCAGCAGACGGTTGCCGTGATGACCAGCGTGACATGCAGCCTGGCTCGCGAGCAGACGAGGACATGAGCAGGGGAAAGAACAAACGAGGGTGGACTCTCAGCAAAATAAATAGGTTCGCGATGTAGAAAAGGGTCAGGAAGGAAGGTGGGGGTCTTAAGAGTAGAACCGAGGGAGAAAGAGATGAGGGAAGGAATGGAGAGACGAAATGACGGGCAGCGAGTCAAGAAGCTGATAGAGACTACAGGGGAGCAGCGACGTCGAGAAAGGAACGCATTAATGTCACCATAATGGGAGCGAAAGTGGAAGAGACTGGATAAACGCACAGGTTCGTTGAAGGGCCTTTATCGTAGAGGACCCTAACGAGAACGCATCCTAGGAAGCCGAGCGCGAAGAAGATGAGAGTGATGACGAGGAACGCTGCCATGCTGGTAACCGCGTAACTCTCGCTAGGCTGTCTGAGAAAACCTAGATCAGGCTCGCACGGTCACGAAAGCTACAGTCTGTAATGAATGAATACGGGGGATCAAAGAAACGCAACGTTGCGTATGACTGCCCGCTAGATCCGAGTAAGGTGTTGCTAAAATGTCAGCGAGAACCCGTGATCGAAACACTCGTCGACCATCAGTCGCATGGGATTTGGACAAGGGAAAAACAAAATTATAGATGATACTGAACTCGCCAGTAAAAAAAAAACTATAGCTTTGGAAAACGAACCTGACAGGACCTTGCCACGTCCTTTGCAGACTCTGGTTTCCAACGTCAGAGGTAACAGGGAAAAAAACAAATAACGGCTTTAGAAGCTCGAATCAGTTTGAAAGGCAGTCCAGAGTCCACCTTCAAACGAGCTCGCAGTAATACACGGAGGAACGGACGGTGAGAAACTAGAGTGCTTGAATCGTAGGTATCTGAGCAGGAGGATAGATACAGTGCGAAGTGCCTGATCGTGGAATGCGGCAATACCTATGTCGGCTGACAATGCCGAAGAGCACAGAACAGAGCACCACGAGGGAAGGTGCTGTACGCGGTAAAAACTCGAGAAGGAAGCCGTTCAACAATGTTCATGAAGTCTGAGCGTTCAAAACTGTTGTAGAAGAAACTGGTGCATTTACATTACAAACCACAGCAGTAACCATGGTTTTGTGTAAAAAAAGACCCTTGTAGAAAATCCTATGCCATGAGCACTTTGTGACAGACTTTGAGGCGAATCAAATATTATACACGCCAGTAGAATCCTTGCCATGACATGATGCCGGCGACTAGTGACCAGAAGAGTGCTTTGGAACCAGCCGTTATGATGGCTGCTGTTTTGGGGTCGTGGCCTGCCCATAGCAGCAGATTATGTAGAAGTGACACCTGGGCACAAGACGACAATAAATGTATTCACAAGGGGGTAAAGGTGGGGGGTAGGAAGGGTGAGAATGAATGCTGCCTGATTGCACATGTGGCATGGTAAGTTAATGGGAAGCTAATTAGCAGTAACAGGGATGATATTGGATAAAAGTTGCGGAGGCAGCTGCAAAGGAAAGTGTTGCGGGGTAGTGGGATGGGAATGATGCACAGTTGAGAGAGTGTGTGCCAGGGAGGTTGGCGATGAGTACAAACTCACGAGATTTTCATGTGGGTCCTCCCAGTAGAAGCCAGCAGCGATGGAGGAGAGGAGAGGAGTGGCACAAGCAAGGAAGAGGAAGAGGGAGTTGCGGCCCATCCACTCAAAGAGCAGCGTGTAGAAACACACCCCTGCCGCATCCACCTGGGAGGAAACGCAAAATGTGAACATGGTGTTAGCCAGATGGAGTAGTACTTACAGATTCGTATCCCAAACGTAAGAGCTCGTTGGTGACAGGAGGGTGCTTACAAAAAGGTAGATGAGGGCGAAAAGGAGTGCGGCAGCTCCTGCTGTTATCAGGACATAGCTTAGTGAGTACAGCTGAGCATTGAAAGGCAGACCTGAGGGATGGAGATACAAGAGCACAAAAGGAGAGATCACATAAGGTGTCAGGGGTGTGGTTTGGCAGCGAAGGTTACCACCAAGGAAAGCGCTGTGTGGAAACAAATATGGGAAAGGAGGTGATCTGTACCAGGGTAGGATATGTCAAGCCACTCGGGGATGTTTGCATGGGGGATGGCGTGGTGGAGGGAGAAGGAGAAGGGAAACTGGAGGAGGAAACCAGCTGCCACGAGGAGAGCAGCGAAGAGGAGGCAGTTGATGATGCGCGCTGCATGGCTCTGTGGTGGACCGTGGAACACAGGAGAGGAGGTGGTAGGGAGAGAAAGAGAAGAGGAAGGAAGAGAAACGAGATGAGATATCGTATGAGGCGAAATTGAAAGCAGGACAGATAGTTTCAAAGTGAAAGCATTGGGTGAGAAGGAGAGACCAGAAATAGCAAGGGGATTAGGAATTGAACCGTGGTTCACTTAGGAGCTGGGTTCACCTGAAAGCTGGTGATGATGTGGCCCAGGTGCAAGCCCATGAAGGCTGTGAGCGTGGCGCCCAGCGTGCTGGTGAGAGGTAAGGGCAGATGCAAGGTGGAGAGAAAGGAATTAGTGGATACGAAGAGACTTGTTCAGAGGCCCCAGGTGTACTCGGAGCAGGGAAAGGGGAAGGCAATGAACGAGGAGTTGGAGTGCGAAAAGGGAGAGCAAAAAGGGAGAGCAAAAACATGCCCACCTTCACACGCCGCGCCCCACCGCCCCAACCCTCTGCACGCCCAACCTCAACCCACAAATCTCTCCTTCACGCACTGCTCTCACCTGAGCAGCCCCATGGGCTCAAACGGCGCAGAGCACCACACAGGGGGCGCCTGGTCGCCAGAGGATGGGAGGGCGAGGAGTGAAGGCGGCGAAAGGGGAGTGGAGGGCACACCGCACATCTGCAGCAGGGAGGAGAAGGCAAAGTGGAAATGGACAAGGCAAAAACGGCAGAAAGAGGATGCGTGTTGCAGAGAGGACGGAGAGGTAGAGAGCCTTCAGGCGGAATGCCTTCAGGCGTGAAAAGATGGGCGAGAAGAAGTACACTGGTACAGTACACAAACACATGCACATGTGTGAAGTGCCTGGCCATGCGGACAGCTTACAGGCAGGTGGATGTAGGGAGGCGAGGCGAGGAGGTGATTGGTGGTGAGAAGCAGTCGGTCAATGTAGCCCGCAGCACTGCAGGCTGGGGAGAGGTCTCCAGTGCGAGAGCACACCACCTGATGGGCATGGGGAAGAGGACAACTCGGGCAAAAGCATGGAGTGGCAGGCAGGCAAGCAGGCAGGCACTTTTGAAGCAAGCAGGACGATGTAGGTGGGAAGGAAAGGAATTGGAGGTTGACAAAGCGAGGTGAGCGGAGCCAGGAGAAGGAGATTCAGGTGGCGTTGGGTGGGTTGTGGAAGGATGAGAAAATCAGAGTTGGGAGAATGTCTGATGACCGCGGTTGCCCTGAAGCTGTGGCAAAAACAGGTGTTATTTTCCAGTTGCATGCAACTTTCAAATCCAGTTACGGACTCCCTTGTGCAGCCATTGACTGACCAGTAGGTCTCGAGACGTGCTGCTGACAGGTGACCCAGCGTGGGGAAGGAAGGTCGTGTTGACAGCAGAGAGGAAGGCGGAGGAGGTGGGGGGAGTGAAGGTCCAGTCAGGCACGAAGAGGAGGAAGGTGAGCGCGAGGTAGATCGCAGCTAGCATGAGAGATGCCTGCCTGGAGGGGGTTGGGCCATGCGACGAAGCAGGGATGATGAGAGGAGGGAGGCAAAACATGGGAGAGAGGAAAAAGGCTCAGGGCGGGGACAAATTACAGCTAAGAGATGAACGCGAAACTAGAAAAACTTGTGGTACTTCATGGTTCCAAGGAATCGTGCAGTAAAATGAACCTGAGAGCGCACTGACCAGGTGAGGAGGGAGAAGGATAACAGGCCGGACAGCCCCTCCCCGTATCCCTCTGTGTAGCTATCCTTAGGCTTGGACAGCAGCACCTGCGCCAGGGCTACCACGGCGTAGGCCACGGCTATGCGCTGCAGCGTGCCACAGATGCGCATGCGCGTCAGACTGATGCCGAAACTCAGGTCCCCTGTTCTGTGCAGGAAACCACCTGGACAGTGCCGGGAAGGTGGAGGGAGAGGCAACCCCACCCATGTGGGAACGATGTCAATGAGAGGGCAGGGCAAAAAACTTGGGTGCGTGAGAATCAGAGTACAGAACAGGTGAAGGCCATAAGTCAAGTAGGATATGCTTCTACCAAAAGACAGGCAGAGAAAAGTAAGTTAGCATCATGGAGGGATTTTGCAGCATAAGAAAATCTCCAAGGTGGGTAGAGCAAGGGAGAGGGTGGCAACCTTCAAGGAAGAGGCCAAGAAGAAAGAGGCAGCAGGCGCGTCTAAGAATCTTATGCACGGCCGCCGTGCGGCTGTGGACGGCTCTGAACGTGAGCGCCGCTGCAACGCCCGAGGCGAAGAGGAAGAAGGGCGCAACGAGGTCTCCTAGCTGCAGCCCGTCCCAGGGAGACACTCCCACACATGGCACCTCGGAACCCACGTCCAGTGCCACTATCATGGCCTGCAGGGAGGAGGGGAGGAGAGGACGAAAGCAACGGTGAGGTCTCTCTGCTGCAGTCCGTCACAAGGGGACACTCCCACCCTCAAGAAGACAGGCGGATGCGCTGTGCGAAGCATTGCAAACATGGTCTTGAATGGTGGAGCTTCGCAATGCTGTTGACATTAGCGTGGGGTTGGGATGCTCGACATGGCCTGGAAATGTGAATGCGAGTAAGTGGTGCTGGAGATTGCACGGAACGACGCGACGAGCCCGCAGGTGTGAGTGATGATAGTTAAATCGACTGGAGCCTAGATTGGCGTACTTACGACGATGCCCATTCCACGGAAAACGTCGAGCGATGCTAGTCGCACGGGATGATGCGACACGTGCGACGTGCTCTCATCGCAGGGAACGTGATGCGACGGGAGGATGGGACCCAAGCGACTGTCCGAGCGAAGTAACGGCGAGATCATGCCGTCCTCCATGGCTCTGTGACACTCGGCGAGGCTTTGCGATATCTGCGACGCGTTGCGATCAGGCTACCTAGCGACTGTCGTCGACAAGCTTGGAATTCCCGCGACGACGACGCCTTATGAGAATGACGCCATGAGAGCACAATATTCTTACTACAAATCTTCAAACCAGTAGCCTGGAGAATGATCGAGAAAAATTCTTTTCACGGAAAACGGGATTGTCGGCACGGCGGATTAGACACCGTATGCTAATGGTGCTCTGGTGAGGTGATAGACAGAGCGATGGGAACTGGTAACACTCGCGAATCTTAGTGTCATGCGTCAGTCCGCCTAACCCACATAATCAGAAGAAGGATCACGAAGACCAGTCTGAAGACAGTTAGTCTGAGAGAATCCTTGGAAATACCAGATAATCTTGGAGGTATGAGAGGGTATGGATTTTTCTCAGCGTCTTGGGGAATTCTTGCTCCAACGGCCCGCCCCGTTGGTCTGGGAGGTTCCGTTTCGAAATTCCCAGGAATTCCCGAAGCTCCGCCCTTGGGATTTGGGAGGCACTGAAGTCTCCGAGGTAGATTTCGGTTTGGCGCGAACCTCGCCAGGCTGCCTCGGGAGTGCGACATCACACCCTCCACATGATAGATATACCTTCGAACTATCGAAATCACAAGCTATATTATTTGGATGGAGACGACTGTAACGCGTTTAGTTCCAAAATCTCCCCTCCTGCCAAACCTTGAAGGCTGTTTTTTGCATTGCTGTGTTCTCGAAAGCGGAGGGCAAATAGGACTTCTTGTGGGATAGATCTGCCTGTTGCGGATACTTGCTCACGTTATCGAAATCAATGCCGGTGACTTCCGTGAAATCGAGCTCAAAAATAGCTTCCACCACATCGACATGGCCTCGCATTTTGAGTCAGCATTCATCGATGTCCCTGCACTTGCTGCTCCTGGTCTCGCCGTTGATTCTCATTCTTCTTCTTACACCACGTCCGGCGCCTCGCGAAAACTCCACCACCTCCCTCGCCACACGCGAAGATGTAACCACGGAGCGGCGAAAGCTCCTGTTTTCGCTACGGAAGCCCAAGGAGTGCGAGGGGCCGAACGGCACGATGGCGAATAGGATCATCCCCATGGAGGCCGTTGCTAGTCAGCGCAAGCTGGTGGGGGGTTGGCGGCCACGGAAGGGGAAATACCTCCTGGCGCTCTGCACCACTGGAAGACTGACCAATCAGGTATTCGGGGAATGAAGATTGACCAATCAGGTACCAAGGAGACAGTCCGGTTAAACAAGTACTTTTAATTTCTTCCCTAGCCCTCCCTTGACTCGACTTAATTTCACCTCTCTTTTCTTTCCTTGCCCTTGTTCCCCTCCTTCCCTCCCATCACCCCCCTCTCCAACGTGCCTCTTCCTCTCCAACGTGCCTCTTCCTCTCCAACGTGCCTCTTCCTCTCCAACGTGCCTCTTCCTCTCCAACGTGCCTCTTCCTCTCCAACGTGCCTCTTCCTCTCCGACGTGCCTCTTCCTCTCCAACGTGCCTCTTCCTCTCCAACCTGCCTCTTCCTCTCCAACGTGCCTCTTCCTCTCCAACGTGCCTCTTCCTCTCCAACCTGTCTCTTCCTCTCCAACGTGCCTCTTCCTCTCCAACGTGCCTCTTCCTCTCCAACGTGCCTCTTCCTCTCCAACGTGCCTCTTCCTCTCCAACGTGCCTCTTCCTCTCCGACGTGCCTCTTCCTCTCCAACGTGCCTCTTCCTCTCCAACCTGCCTCTTCCTCTCCAACGTGCCTCTTCCTCTCCAACGTGCCTCTTCCTCTCCAACGTGCCTCTTCCTCTCCAACGTGCCTCTTCCTCTCCAACGTGCCTCTTCCTCTCCAACCTGCCTCTTCCTCTCCAACGTGCCTCTTCCTCTCCAACGTGCCTCTTCCTCTCCAACGTGCCTCTTCCTCTCCAACCTGCCTCTTCCTCTCCAACGTGCCTCTTCCTCTCCAACCTGCCTCTTCCTCTCCAACGTGCCTCTTCCTCTCCAACGTGCCTCTTCCTCTCCAACGTGCCTCTTCCTCTCCAACCTGCCTCTTCCTCTCCAACGTGCCTCTTCCTCTCCTCCCCCGCCGCGCAGAGCAGCAGGAGTGCATAATGACCTACTTCATCTTCGCCGTCCTGATAGAGCAACTACGCAGCTACATGCGAGACATCTCAAAGCTACCTTTGCTCCACCCTCTTTCCCCTCCCCCCTCTCCTCCCCCGCCGCGCAGAGCAGCAGGAGTGCATGATGACCTACTTCATCTTCGCCGTCCTCTTAAACCGCACGCTGCTCATCCCGCCCCTCACCGTCGCCCAGCACACTGGTCTCAACCTAATCTGGCCCTGGTCCGCCGTCGTTAATCTCCCCAGGCTGCATACCTGCCTCTCGCCCTCCTACGACCCCCTCACCACCCTCCTACTACCAGACTACCTCTCCCGTTCCCACTCCGCCCATGCTTACGTGGCACACCTTATCTGCCTCAAGCCCACGTGTAATCATGAGTGGACACTGCGAGTGCTGCTGCGGGAAGTGCCTGAGATCAAGCTAGCGGACAAAAAAGGCCGCCCAGTAGCTGTGAATCAGAGCTTGGTGGATAGGATGGGGAAGGTGCAGCTGGAGAAGCTTCTAGAAGCGGTGAAGGTGGTGGAAGGGGAGGAGGATAGGGCGGAGCAGGAGGAGGGGGGAAGAGCGGTGGAGGGGGGGAGTCACGATGACTCTTCAGGTGGAGAGCAAGAGAAGGAGAAAGCAGGAGAGAGTGGAGCAGTGGGAGGGGAGTCGGCAGCAGCAGGAAAATGTGATGCTACAGGTCCAGCAGCAAGAGAAAGTGGTGGAGAGGCAGCAGCAGCAATAACGAGACGGCTGAATGAGGTGGGCAGCGGTGCAGAGGGGCAGGGCACACAAACAGGCGAAGTTGCTGCTGCAGCAGCATCTCAGGCAGCACCGGCTTTGGCTGGCCAAGCATCGGTTACAGCAGAATCATCCGGCACAACAGCAGCAGCTGCAGCAGCAACCCTTGACCCAGCTGCTGCAGCACCAGCCACATCACCTGCTGCAGCCTTGGCAGCACCATTTACAGCAGCACCAGCTGTGGCAACGCCACCAGGAGCAGTAGCAGCTGCAGTGACAGTACCAGAAACACCTGCTGCAGCAGCACCACCAGCAGCAGCACCAGCTGGAGCAGCGGCAGCAGCAACAGCGGCACCGCCAGCTGCTGCAGCCGGCACCACCTCTGACGACAATGAGGAGCCCACTCTGCCTGCCGGCCACATCCTCACGTTCGGCGATTTGGCGGGAACGTCTGTGATTGGCCACGACTGGCTGCTGGAATCAGCACTGCCCCTAGTCTCAGTCCCTCCGGGCTGCAGCAACCTGTGGCGGCCGCACGCGGTGATGGAGTTCGTAGACGGCTTCATTGCGACCCACCTTCCATCTCCATTCATGGCCGTGCACCTCAGGAGGTGAGTCCACTGCTCTGCACCTCAGGCGGTGAGTCCACTGCTGTGCACCTCAGGAGGTGAGTGAGTGGGTGCTGAGTGAGTCAGTGCTGCAGTGGTAGTCACAGTTTCTCCGGGCTGCAGGAACCTGTAGCAGCCACTATCTCCTTTCATGGCCGTGCACGTCAGGAGGTGAGTGAGTGGCCACTAGAGGCAGTGCCTCACTGCCCCGCGAGACATTCCTTCAGGACTGCTGTAATTGAGCTGTTGTTGGCTTCATCGTGACACTCCTCCCATCTCCCTTCATGGCCGCACACACCTCAGGGGGTAGGGAAAGAGCACATGTTCCTGCTCATGGCAGCGGTGGCCCGGGGGGGAGTTCATTCTCTCCTGTCCTTCTGCATTTCCTTTTTTCCCTTAACTCATCTCAGGGGTGATTTCTCGGGGCATCTGAAGAAGCAGAGCTACAAGCGGCACGTGTTCCTGCCCATAGAAGCAGTTGCGGAGTTCATTCTCTCCCGCGCCGCTGCTGCCAACCTGCACACCGTGCTGCTGGCCTCTGATGGCACAGAAGCTGAAGTGGCCATGTTGACACAATTGGTCACAGGTAATGAAGTGTCTCAGTCTCGGTTATGACATTGCTTTGCATACACGTGTCGCTGCTGCCAACCTGCACACCGTGCTTCTCGCCTCTGATGGCACTGAGGCTGAAGTGGCCATGCTCTCGCGAATACTCACAGGTAGGGAAGCTGATTCGTATGCCAGAGATAGTCTGACCTGGCTCGGCATGCCCATGCCGCTGCTGCCAACCTGCACACCGTGCTGCTCGCCTCTGACGGCACCGTGGTGCTGCAGCCTGCCTGTGCATGGGCTCACAACTTGCAATTGGCTTGTCATGCACATGACGCTGCTGCCAACCTGCACACCGTGTTGCTCGCCTCTGACTTGACCGAGGCTGAAGTGGCAATGCTCTCGCACATTCTCACACAATGAGTCTCATGGATCTTCTTTGCCTCATAAAACCCTGAGGTTTCCCACCCCGTTCCCTTCCACTCACCCCCTCTCTTTACTCAGCCAGCAACACCACGAGGCTGGTAACGGCACTCACACGAGGCTGTATGAGAGCCGCTTTGCCTGGACTGTGAGCCGTTTTGCCTGGACGGTGAGCCGCTTTGCCTGGACGGTGAGCCGCTTTGCCTGGACGGTGAGCCGCTTTGCCTGGACGGTGAGCCGCTTTGCCTGGACGGTGAGCCGCTTTGCCTGGACTGACACGCGCGATGAGCCCTGGAGGCGGGCGCTCACGGCTCTGATTCTCCCCCCTGCGCTCATGGCGCTGAGCCTCTCCCCTGCGCCCATGGCGCTGAGCCTCTCCCCTGCGCTCATGGCGCTGAGCCTCTCCCCCTAGCCACCTATGACACGTATGCACCTTTCTCCCTCATCCCCCCATGCCCTCCCCCCACAACCCCCTCTCTCCCCATACAACCAGCAACGCCACGAGGCTGGAGACGTTGCATGAGAGCCGCTTCACATGGGCCGACACGCAGGATGAGCCCTAAGGACAGGCTCTGCTGGTTCTCCGTGCCTCCCTCCCCCGAGCCACCAACGCCACACCTGCACCCTTCTCTCTCACCCCACCCCCTCATCCCACCCCCTCATCCCACCCCCTCATCCCACCCCCTCACCCCACCCCCTCATCCCACCCCTCACCCACCCAGCCAGCAACTCCACGAGGCTGGTGACGTTGCATGAGAGCCGCTTCACATGGGCCGACACACACAATGAGCCCTGGGGGCGGGCGCTATTAGCTCTGGAGCAGAGCCTGCCCGAGGGGGGCGGCAAGGGGGTGCTGCGGGCGCTGGGAGAGAAGTACATATGTGCGCGAGCCCACGTGTTCTATGGCACGGTTTACTCAACGTTCTCGACGGATATTATCAGGATCCGGGTGGCAGAAGGGGTGGCGAACTGCATGGATGGGAAGGTGGGGGAGGAAGGTTAGTGGTGGTTTGCTTGAGCATGGCCGTTCGTCCGTTGCTGGAACTGTTGCTGGAACCATTTTTCCACTTTACCACTTTTCCACTTTTGCTGGTGGTTTGTGCTCACAGCACTGTACCATGAGGTAACCCCTTGCTGTTGCACTGCATGTAATTTGTCTGCTAGAGATGACTAGAAGGCTACTTTGTTGCTGCTGCCAGCAGGCATCACGCGCCTGCTGGGCCGTGGTTACTTCTCGCCTGCCTTGCCCACCACCTTGTGCATCTTGCGTGTGCCAGCTGGACCCCAACAGAGAAGGTTACTTGTTCCTGCTGCCAGCACCCACCCCACCACGTGTCGGTTGCCCGTGTCTACTTATCGGCTGCCTTGCCCACCACCTTGGGCATCTTGTGTGTGCCAGCTGTATCCCAACAGAGGAGCGATGGAGGGGGGAGATTTGGGAATTTAGATGAAACGGAACACAAGGGGAAAGGGAAAACGGGTGGATGTGAGATGAGGAAATGGGAATGCATCGTCCCTTGCAAGTTGCACCCATGCAATCAAACACACACGCGGCGCCCCTCCTTCCACACGAGTTGGTTTTTGAGAATTCTCAAAAAGGACACACTCACGGTCTTCCTCATCTTTCAGCTTGTAGTAGTGCAGTGCGATCTCCACCAACCAATCAGGCTTAATCTCCTCGACCTGCAGCATGAACTCCTTGCTCGTGTACACCACACCAGCTCGTGGTATACCACCCACCCATTCCTCTCCCACTCCAAGCACATACATGACAAAACACACCTTCCTGCATACACACCTCCCCGCATACACACCTCCCTGCATACACACCTCCCTGCATACACACCTCCCTGCATACACACCTCCCTGCATACACACCTCCCTGCATACACAACACACTCACAATCCTCCACGTCCTTCAGCTTATAGTAGTGCGGTGCGATCTCCACGAGCCACTCGGGTTTGATCTCCACGACCTGCCGCATGAACTCCTTGCTCGTGTACACTAGCTCGTGGTATACCACCCATCCCAAACCTTGTCAACCACTCTGTACACATCACCACACCTTCCACTCCGCACCATGCACCTAAACACCCCTCCCTGCACACGATACTCACAATCCTCCACGTCTTTGAGCTTGTAGTAGTGCGGTGCAATCTCCACCAGCCATTCAGGCTTAATCTCCACGACCTGCCGCATGAACTCCTTGCTCGTGTACACTAGCTCGTGGTATACCACCCATCCCAAACCTTGTCAACCACTCTGTACACATCACCACACCTTCCACTCCGCACCATGCACCTAAACACCCCTCCCTGCACACGATACTCACAATCCTCCACGTCTTTGAGCTTGTAGTAGTGCGGTGCAATCTCCACCAGCCATTCAGGCTTAATCTCCACGACCTGCCGCATGAACTCCTTGCTCGTGTACACCAGCTCGTGGTATACCACCCATCCCAAACCTTGTCAACCACTCTGTACACATCACCACACCTTCCACTCCGCACCATGCACCTAAACACCCCTCCCTGCACACGATACTCACAATCCTCCACGTCTTTGAGCTTGTAGTAGTGCGGTGCAATCTCCACCAGCCATTCAGGCTTAATCTCCACGACCTGCCGCATGAACTCCTTGCTCGTGTACACCAGCTCGTGGTATACCACCCACCGCGGCAGCACCTGCGCCAGCCCCGAGCTCGGGTGGATGTGCACCGTCTGGGGGTTCTTCACAGTGCGGTATGTGCGGTTCTTCTGCAGACGAGCCGTGTGGTAGAAATAGCCTGGCCAGAGAAAAAGGAAAAAGAAGGGGTACAGGGGAAGAAGGGATATGTGATGTGAGCTCGGGTGGATGTGCACCGTCTGGGGGTTCTTGACGGTGTGATATGTGCGGTTCTACAGCACGCGGGCCATATGGTAGACGTAACATGCACGGATAAACATGGCGGAACAAGGAAAGAAAAAATGGCCAGCTCGGGTGGATGTGCACTGTTTGGGTTTGAGGTTCTTCACTGTTTTGCTTGATTGCAACAAACAGTGAATGGTGAATTGCTTCACTGCGCACTGTGCACTGCGCACTGTTTGATGATTGCGCCATGGGGGGTGGAGGAAGCACAAGTGGAAGTGCAACACTGCTGCTGTTTGCGACCTCCTCTTCTCACCAGCAGTGATGGCCTTTTTGATGGCATCCAAGTCGCCGCTGCTACTACTTGGTTCGATTTCCACTCGCTCCAGCAGTCCCATCAGCTGATCGCGCACATCCCTTGCCATCTTCATGCTTCGTACCTGAAGATGAGTGGAGAGGAGAGCAGATATGTGGGGAATGCAGGGGAAGAGAGTGTGGATGGCAGGGTTAGGAAGCACCCCGTTCACGATAAGTCGAGTTTTGAGTCGACTCAAAACTCGACTTATCACACGTGGATGGCAGGGTTAGGAAGCGCCCCGTTCACGTGCAACAGGCCCATCAATCGGTCCCGCACGCTCGTCCCACGCCAACTTCATGCTTCGTACCAGAAGGGATGGGAGAAAGATGAGGGTTATGAATGAAGAGCATGGAAAGCAGAGGAGAGGGAAGGTGTGGTTCTCATGCATCACGCTCACCTGAATGTAATTCTCGTAGCAGAACTGAGACGAGAAGCTGGTCTCAGCCCACTGCTCGTAAACCCTTAGCAGCGCGATGTGGTCGCCCACGTTGCCCGTGTGGAAGTTCATTCGAGCGTTGTCTGCATGCACCTGCTTGTCCTTGGGGCGGTAGAAGACGGCGTTGCCGACTGACAGCATAGCGCATATGGTGGCTGCTTCTTCAGAGCACCTGGATGGGTAATGGGGAACGGGGGACGGGGTACAGAGGGGAACAAAGGGTGACTGACAGGGAGCAGGGTTTAAGTGTGTGGAATTTCATGCGTGCGTTGTCTGCATGCGCCTCGCCTGCTCGTCCTTGGGGCAGTAGAGAACGGCACATTGGTTCGCTTATTCTGTGCAACTCAGTTCTAACGAGTCCTATCTATCAGGCGGCCCATCCACTCACAGGTACTTATCACAGGCGACGACCCATGGACATTCGAGGGTCCAACAGACAAGCCATGCCCCCGCCCGCCCACCCACGCACACCCACGCACACCCACGCCCACCCACTCACAGGTACTTATCAGAGGCAACGAGCATCTTGGACATCTGAGGGTCCAGAGGGAATTCCGCCATCTTCCTGCCCAGCTTGGTCAGCTCCCCCCTGTCATTCAGCTCCCCCAGCGCCTACAGCATCTCCAGCGCCAGCGCCCTCAGCAGCGCGGATGGGACCAGAGCAGCAGGGAACAACCACCACCACTTTACCAGCCATGCCCCAAGCGCCCCACCCACTCACAGGTATTTATCAGAAGCCACAAGCAGCTTGGACATCTGCGGGTCGAGAGGAAACTCGGCCATCTTCCTGCCCAGCTTGGTCAGCTCCCCGCGGTCGTTCAGCGCCCCCAGCGCATACAGCATCTCCAGCGCCCGCAGCAGCGTCTCCGCAGGGGGCGGGTCCATGAAGTCGAAATTCAGCAAGTCGTTGATCCCCAGGGATTTCAGCATCAGGACGACATTCCCGAGGTTCGTCCTCTGAATCTCCGGCACGGTATTATCCTCCAACTCGTTTGCATACGACCATGCAGTGTACAGCCGAAAGCATTTCCCGGGTGACGTTCTACCGGCTCTTCCCGCCCGCTGATTCGCCTGTGCTTTGGATACAGGGGTGACTATAAGCGACTCCATGCCAGTGCGCGGGTTGTAGCTTTTCTGCTTCACGAACCCCGGGTCGATCACGTATTTAATCCCGTCAATCGTGAGGGACGTTTCTGCGATGTTGGTCGCCAGAACCACCTTCCGGGCCCCCTCGGGCGTCTTTTCGAAAATCTTCGCCTGCATGTCCGTGGGCAGGTTCGCGTAGATCGGGCAGATGATCATTTCTGCAATCTTCGTACCCAGCCCCTTGGTCCTATGCCTGAGAATCTCCTCTGCTGCCTCAATTTCCTCCTGCCCGGTCAGGAACACCAGCACGTCCCCTGGTGGCTGCGTTACATGGATCTGTAACACGGTTACCACCGCGGCATCTAGGTAATCCGCCTCAGGCGCCTTGGTGTAATGTATATCCACGGGATACCTCCTCCCAGGAATTCGGAAAATCGGCGCAAAGTCGAAATACTCGCTGAACTTCTCCGCGTCGAGCGTGGCGCTCGAGATCAGCAGCTTCAGATCGGGCCTGAACCTTGCAATGTCCTTCACCAGCCCGAACAGCACGTCTGTGTGAAGCGTCCTCTCGTGAGCCTCATCTACCATCATAACAGAGTAGCTCGCGAGGTCTGGTTCGCTGAGGAATTCGCGCAGCAGCATGCCGTCGGTCATGTACTTGAGAACGGTCTTGTCGGACGTGCAGTCCTCGAAGCGAATGGAGTACCCCACCTCGTGCCCCAGCTTGCACCCCACCTCCTGCGCCACTCGCGCTGCCACGCTCATTGCTGCCACTCTCCTGGGCTGGGTGCAACCAATCTGAGGGATGTGTGTGGGGGTGGAGGGGGGTGGGAAAAGAAACGAACATTACTATTTCAAACAGGTTTCTAGCTTGCACCCCGCCTCCTGTTTCGCACGCTCATCGCTGCTACCCTCCTGGGTTGGGTGCACCAGACCTGAAGGGCACGTGTGCGTGTGTGTGTGAAGGCGGGGTGGGGGTTGGAAGTCTGGAAGAAACACGAATTTCAGTTTTGAGGCGCCTAAAAAAATCCGCGTGAGAGAAGTCTAGTTTTGAGGCGCCTCAAAACTGAAGGGCATGTGTGTGTGTGAAGGCGCGGTGGGGGTTGGAAGTCTGGAAGAAACACGAATTTCAGAACCTCCTGGGCCACCCTTGCTGCCACACTCATGGCCACGATTTCTTCTGGGCTGTGTGCAGCCAATCTTCGAGTGCAGAGTGAATGTGTGGGATGAGGATAGAACGAGCATAGCTTTCTTGTACAGCCCCCCAGCTTCCCCTGCCTTTCTTCACCTTGCCCCACCCCTCACCTTGTCTCACCTTGCCCCACCCCTCACCTTGTCTCACCTTGCCCCACCCCTCACCTTGTCTCACCTTGCCCCACCCCTCACCTTGTCTCACCTTGCCCCACCCCTCACCTTGTCTCACCTTGCCCCACCCCTCACCTTGTCTCACCTTGCCCCACCCCTCACCTTGTCTCACCTTGCCCCACCCCTCATCTTGTCTCACCTTCCCGCACCTTGCCCCACCTTTCCAATCCGAGCCCCACCACTCACCTTGCCGCGCTTGCCGTATCCCTCTTCGTACAGATACTGCGGGAACCGAGTTGTCTTGCCGTACCCTTCGCCTTGCCCCACCTTGTCCCACCGTGACCCACCGTGCCCCACCACTCACCTTGCCGCGCTTGCCGTATCCCTCTTCGTAGAGATACTGCGGGATCTGAGTTGTCTTGCCCGACCCCGTCTCCCCCACTATCACCAGCACCTGCACACACACAAAGCGCACAGAAGACACCACACAGCACGCACACCACACCACACCACACCACACCACACCACACCACACCGCATGCACCACACGTCACACAGCATGCAGCACACACACAACCCACAGGAGCAGGTCATCCACAGTCATATACAGAATCGTGAGACAAACGCTATGGAGTGACTTTTGATCACAAACGCCTATATAGCGACTTTTGATCACAAACGCCTATAGAGCGACTTTTGATCACAAACGCCTATAGAGCGACTTTTGATCACAAACGCCTATAGAGCGACTTTTACGTTTCCTTTTTCTGCACACACTAATGCATGGCCGCTTGTCTTTGAGCGCCTCCCACCCAACCATCATCAGCAGAACCTACCTGGTGGTCGTTAATAGCTTGCAACAGCTCCTCCCTGCTTGCAGCAGCTCCTCTCTATAGTGGTATACATACGGGCAGGTGCTTGCGCTCTGCCTGTACCTTGTGAGAGACGTCTCACAACTGCTCTTTGAGGCCCCTTCATACCATCAGCAGCAACAGCAGTACCTACCTGGTGGTCGTGGATAGCTTGCAGCAGCTCCTCCCTGTATCGGTACATGGGCAGATTCTTCCTCTCCGCCTGTATCTTGTCAAACGCTGACTTGGCCTTTGACACCTCCACCTGACGCTCCCTCTCCTCCTCGTCCTCTGAACCCTCCTGCACCCACTCCCACCGCATCAGACAGCAAGATAACCCATCAGCACCGCAATGAAGCACAGTGGGTGAGCCATCACCCATCACAAACACACGTACACGTGAACAGGGCTAAGACAAACACACAAAAGAGAAGGCCACGTAAGGAACAACACCCTACCAACCCTGTAACTGCAAGCTATCCTGGGGTACTCACCCTTTCACTCCAAGCCAAGCTACTCTGGAGGTACTCACCCTGTCATCCCCGGCCATGATTGTATCTTTAATGAAGTCGATCTGATCCTCAAACACATACTCGTACTGCTCTGAGTCTACCTTGCGATCCTTTGACCCAAAGTTCACTGTCGCCTTGCCTGCCACACACGATGCGCAAGACATGGTGCATGCGACATGAGGCATGCGACAAGAGGCATGGAACAAGAGGCATGCGACTTGACACATGGAACATAAGATTCTGATTCATGTATGTTCACTACTCGTACTGCTCTGCCTCTACCTTGCGATCCTTAGACCCATATTTGACTGTCGCCTTGCCTGCTACACAAACCCATGAGACAAGGTGCATGTGACACGATGTCTCATAACCCATGTGACACGATGTCTCATAACCCATGCGACACGATGTCTCATAACCCATGTGACAAGGCATATGATGTGATGCACGGAAGCTTAAACACAACGTGCAAAGAACGCACGTTGGTTGCAGCGTCATTGATAATCGGCCTGCCACACCACAACCATTCATCCCTACCTACCTATTTGATGATTCTCCCAAGCCTCCTGCTCTGCACGTGGAGTCACCTTGTCGTCGCCCTCCACGTCCCTGACCACACAATGTGGGATGGGTAGAGGGAAAGAGGGGCGATGGGTGACAAGAATGAAAGGAGAAAACAAACAATGCTTATGCAGTCCTCTCCTCTGCACACATACCCACACTCCTCTGCACACACGCCCACTCTCCTCTGCACACACGCCCACTCTCCTCTGCACACACGCCCACTCTCCTCCGAGCACGCACATTCTCCTTTCAATGAGTGATGACTATGCAGTCCTCTCCTCTGCACACATACCCACACTTCTCCAAGCACGCAAATTCACTCCCCTCCATGCACACACTCACACTCTTCCACCCCTGCACTCATACCCACACCCTTCCACACTCCCCCACCCCTCGACTCTCACCCACACCCCTCTCCACCCACACCCTCTTCCTGCACACCCACGCCCCTCTCCACCGCACTCACTGGTATCGCTTCATAGCCACCGCAAACCTCTTGTCCTGCTGCACCTTCTCCTCCTTGTCGTACGCTTCTGGTAGGTGGTACTGCAAGGAGGGGGGGGAGGGAACATTAAAGTGGTTGAAGCAACAAGAATGGTGCCAGGGGCAATGAGCACTAAAGACAAAGCAGGCCTCCAGGCAAATCTCTTGTCCTGCTGCACCTTATCCTTCTTGTCATACGCTTCTGGCAGGTGGTACTGCCGTGGTGGGTCGGAACAAGGAAAGGTTGGGTTGAGGTTGGCAGAGAAAATTCAAGTAAACAGCACAGATGCACATGCAGTAACACATGCAATGTGCAGCAGCTGTCAACATGGAGCAGGGGACGGTGGGCTCACCTCGAGCACCTTCCCCACGTCCTCCACTTGCTGCTTGGCCAGCGCCAGCACCTTGCGCTTGTATGAGGTGTATGCGCTGTGCTGCATGTGCAGCTGTGGATGCACCAGTGCATGGAACAGTACAGCAACAGTCAGCATCGCGCACTCACCTCCAGCACCTTCCCCACGTCCTCCACTTGCTGCTTGGCCAGCGCCAGCACCTTGCGCTTGTACCGCTGCTCCGCCTGCTCCCTCTCCGTCAGCTTCACATCTGAAAACAAATACTCCTCGTCCACCAACTCATCCCTGAAAAAGATTGCAGGCAGGCACAGGGCAGTGTGTGCTTAAATCAAAGACTGCTCTCCAAGAGATTCACATCGGAAAACAGATACTCCTTCTCCACCAACTCGTCCCTGCGATACAGTCACAATGCAGCGAAGCAACACACAAAGTGAGATGGACTAGTGTCACAATCTACAGCATACATGCACTTGCTCAGAAACAGTGTCGTGTGCTAAGATAGCTGCAAGTTGCAACAGCAAGAAATAGCACAGAGAAAGCAGTGCTTACTCGAGCTCCTGCAGCTTCTTGGCTTCTCGCTTTGCGAGGTACTCCTGCCTTGAGATCTCCCTCAGACTCGGCATCAGCTCCCGCTGCTGCTCCGCCTCCTGCCTCCTTCTCAACGCCTCTGATCGGTTTGTGCACGCGTCGTATTGTATAATACAGTATGGCAGGCAGGGGAAGTGAAGGAAGAGGTAGGTCTGTTTCTTTAAGCGCCTCAACAATAGTCCCGCTGCTGCTCCGCCTCCTGCCTCCTCCTTAACGCCTCTGTTGGGGTTATGCGCACATGGCATTGCACAGCATGGAGTGGCTTTTGAGAATTCTCAAAAGCCACTCAAAAGAGAATTCTCAAAAGCCTCTGATGGGGTTGTGCGCACATGGCATTGCACAGCATGGCAGGGGAAGGGAGAGAAGGGAGGGGAGGAGCAGGCAGAGGAACAACCGGCAGGTAAACCACGTAGCGGAAGCAAGGGTTGCGACAACAATGGAAGGGAGGTTGGATATGTGTCAGAACAGTGGGTTAAGCATGAGACAGCATGCAGATTCTAAAGGCAGCAATGTGACCAGCACAGCATAGGAGATAAAGGATGGGAGAAAGGGAGGGGGTGCGGAAGGGGCAGGAGGGGAAGCCGGACCGCCATGGGGCAAGAAGGATAGATGGATGAGGGTCAAGCAGAGGTGATGGTGGCACATGCCACGTGGCGTGTGACGTGTGATTGCGACAAATGGTGCGTCGAGAGTGACATGGAGAGGGTGACACGTGAGTGACAACATGTGACTGACCTTGTTCCTTCTTGGATAGCTTCGGCTCCAGCTTCTGCAAGCAGAACGAATGAGATGTAGAGGGATGTGGGGGGATAAGGAGGGATGTTGAAGGATGTGAAAGAGAACATGATGGACGGGAGAGGAAAAGGAGTGAAGCTTACACGAAAGGGCGAAAGGAGATAACGGGAGATGGGGACGAGAAGGGTGGGAAGGGGGATGAGGGGGGACAAGGGGAAGTGAAATGGGGTGGAGACGAAGTGGATAAACCAGGGACGGTGGAGGACGAAGGGTAGCTGACTGAAGCAGTAAGGTATGGATGAGAGAAGCATATATATATATATAAAAAAAAAAAAAGAAACTCCACTCCACCTTAGTGCGCTCCTCATCGCGCTGCTTGAGTCGCTCCTCAAACTCCTCCCTCTCCAACTGGTCGCGCTCCCTCTCCGCCTCCCTCTGCCTCTCCAATGCCGCCTGCCAACCACCCAACAGATGCAAAGAAGCACAGATGACAAACCATAACAGAAGAAGGCACTACGTACACACTCTGATTTAGAGTGTTGCTTGCTGCACTACTCCACGTACGTCCATAGCTTCCTAACCCACTCCATTCCCCCCAGATCCCCAACCGTACGTACCTCTTCATCCTCCTCCTCCTCTGCCTCTCCCTTCCTTCGCCCGCTCCTGTGCTCGCCTTGCCGACCTTTCTTGCGCTGATACTCTGCCAGGGCCTGGAGAGGGGAGAGCGCAGGGGCATGAGGAAAAGAAACCGGAGCGAGAACGTGAGAAAGTGGCATGAACAGGTGAATAGAAGCCATGAAAAGGTGGCAGCAACAAAGGGGACATGAGTGAATGAGACTACGAACATGGGAAACGAGTGCAGCAAGTCAACAGTCAACACCACCTTACCTGAGCAGTGGCATCATCATCCGCATCATCCCCACCGTCCATTTCATCTCTCCTCCTCCTCAACTGCCTCCTCTTCTTCCCCTCTTTCCCTCCCTCCCCCTCCCCTGCCCCCCCTCGTCCATCCCTCTCCCTCTCTTCATCCCTCCTCTCCCTCTCCTCCCGTTCCCTCCCCCGCTGCCTCTCCCTCTCCCGCTCCTCCTCTTCTTCGTCATCATCCGCATCTAGCAAGGCGTACTGCTGCTGCCGGCGAGCAAACTCAATGGCTGCTTTCTCCTCTGTCTTGTATGCCTGCCGTAGGTTGCAGCGGATGACAAATAAGGATAGGGGTGAGAGAGCAGGGAAAATGGGTCACAGAGGGAAGAGGAGAAACGGCAGGGTGGACAGCACTGGCTAAAAATGCTACTCCCTGAACGCGAACCTGAGTGCGAGGTTCTTACAAAAATCTGAACTGCTAAAGATGCTAATGCGGGAGTGCATGCATACCCTACCGCAGGTTCCCAAGTGCTTCCTAACTTTCCCCCCACCCACTACTAGGTAGGTCTTCGAAGTGCTTCTTACCCCACAAGATACCAGATAAATCTTCAAAGTGCTTTTTAACCACCCCACCGCGAACCTATCCTGAGTAAGACCTACCGAAGGACCTTTCTTGGCGCTCGGTATTCTCAGGGCCAGCTGGCTGGCAAAGGCTGACGTGGCAGGCGACGCTGGAAGGCCATTGGACGAGAGGCTGGATGTGAGAGCGCTCACGCTGGACGATCTCTTAGCTGCGGAGTGGAAACGTGGCACGAGAGGGACAGGAAGTAAGGCAGTGAATTGATGGGAGCAGCGAAGCTTCAGAAACTCATTATCTGGCCACCTTTGAACAAGAAAGCATTTCAGAGGCGTGAAAGTTGGAATGGAACACTGGAAATTAGTTTCTCGCTTGAACGGATAGCGAGTCACGACCATTTCCACACGCTCTGCAGAATATTCGCTACCTTTCACCAGAATTCGATTGGATTCGCTATAAGCGACGCACCTAACGCGATAACGAAGGTAACGAGACTGGACTCGGAGTAGCCGAGGATTTGATATAGCTGATCCGACACCCACGTCTTTAACTCCTTCTCGTCCGCCATTCCTCGATATTGCCGCTTTCTGACGTCAGGTATCTACGAAAGGTGACACCTCCGCGACAGTGGTGAAAAGGGAATCTTACAGGTAGACTAGAAACGAGCCTTGCCACCTCTTTGCATCTGTAAGGTCTAAGCGACTGGCAGAAGGCGGTGCTATCGTGGGACCAAGTATTCTAGACCCAAGCCAAAACGTAGTGAGCTTGACGCAAGCAAAACTAGTTACAACCTTGTACGAGTCCTAAACCGCGATAATGACGGATTCGCTTTGAGGACTGCTCTTGGTCAAAGTAATCTACACTCTCGAGGTTGTACAGTATCCCGAATAAAACATTCTGCTGAAAGATTTCAAACCCCAACGAAAGCCTCCCCTGGGGGTTCTCGTAGAACCCTGGGTTTGCGGCTCGTACAGTAAGATTCCATTCCCCAATACTCGATGCTCGGTCAGTGTCGAGTGAATTTAGGTATATTACTGCCTATATTGCTTCCCATTCTGATCATCTGCTGGTCTGATCATCCCTCTTCGTGCGATACGGCTTCCCGTGGTCTTGATACACTTGCCTGTTGAAAGCAGTCGTTCGTTTTTCTTTGGGGTATCTATCCCGAATCGTCGTGTCTTCGATTCGCTGCCTGAAGAGTCGGTAAGAATGGCGGACGCAGCGCAGATCGACGAGGCGTTAAATCAGTTGACGGCGATTCAAGACGAACTAGACAAGGTGCAGACAACGTTAAGATCCGACGAATACCGTCCTCTAGCTTTCGCATTTTCGTCAGAACCTCCCGAGCCTGGTTTGCCCCTCTATCATTCCTCCATATCCTTTTCCACCACAGCTAACACCATAGAGTTCACTCCTCCCAATCCCTCGTTCCTGCTCGTTCTCTCCGTTCTAGCCTGTTCATATAACCTGGGAGGCATTTAGGTCAACGAGGAGGCAAGCTACAAGGTTTTGGAGGAGGTGGAGCATAAGGACTCTCCTATGTCCTCTCCGGTCTCGTACACGTTAGAGCCCAGTCTGATTATCCCTTATCTTCTTATCGTGCTCTCCTATGTCCTCTCCGTTCTCGCCTGTCTATCCCTGAGAGGATTTAGGTCAACGAAGAGGCGAGCGACAAGGTCTTGGAGGTAGAGCAGAAGTACAACAAGCTAAAGCGGCCCATTTACGAGAGACGCCAGCAACTATTGTCGGAAGTTAACGACTTCTGGATGACAGTGGTACGCGGTTGTTCTTCTAAGTCGACTCAGCATGTTGAGTCGACTCAGCGTGTTTTTCCACCCTTTTGGTCTCTCCTTTCGTCGGTTTTGTTAGGTTTTCCACGTTCCCGTTTCCCCGTTCTTCCCAACTGACTAATTCACGCATTGCGCCTACGTTAACTTCTGTATTTTGTTGATCGCAGCTTCTCAATCACGGTCTTCTTCACGCGTTTTTCACAGAAGAGGATAGACAGGTGAGGGAAAATATAGAAACAACGAGTCATGATATGCTCACTGGAACTCCTAAATGCCTCCCGGTTATTGTGCCTCGCAATTCGCCTGGGTGCGCTGAATGTCTTCTTCGTTCCGTCAAGTTCTTGGCGGTCAGATTTCGCTTTTCCATTCTGTCCTTCATCCGTCCTCCCTTACCACTCACCATGTCATTCGTACGGCTCCCTCACTTCCCCAACCCCCCGTACTATGCTATAACCCCCTTGTTACGCTCACCCCTTCCTCCTGATTTTCTCCTTCATCCGTCCTCCCTTACCACTCACCATGTCATTCGTACGGCTCCTTCACTTCCCCAAACCCCCCGTACTATGCTCTCCCCCCCCTGTTACGCTCACCCCACCCTCCTAATTTCCATGCTACCCCCGCTCCCTCCTCTCCTGCGCGCCACCCTGCAGGCACTGGAGTATCTGAGGGGGTTGGACGTGGAGGATTATAAAGACATCAAGTCGGGCTACAGCATCACCTTTGTACGTTCTTAAGAGCTCGTATATCTAGTACTGCAGTGTCTCCTATGATTCATCAGCTCTACTCGCTTCCCAGTACTTGTCAGCTTTTCAGCTCTTGAAGCAGACGGTTCATGTGTCTACGGTTTGGCCCCTTCTTGATGTCCCTTGTTGCAACCATCATTAAGCCCTGAACCTCGCTAAGGGGAACTCACATTCAGCTGTAATTGGTTCGTTTGTCATTGGCGTGATTTGTTCTTATTTAGTGAATGATTGAGGAGGAATTTGATACCTTACACGTGGAAGTGATGTGATTGGTTGTCTAGTTTTATCTCATCCACACCATTCTGTCATTTCCGTCACCCCTGTCTGATTTAACTGGCAGACATTCGCGGAGAACCCATACTTTTCGAATAAGGAGCTGACCAAGAGCTACAAATACACGGAGGAGGGCACTGCCAAGGTGGAGGGCACCAAGATCGAGTGGAAGGAGGGCATGGTGAGATACGAGTGGAAGGAGGGCATGGTGAGATGAGTGGAAGGAGGGGATGGTGAGAGAAGTGGAAGGAGGGGATGGTGAGATCAGTGGAAGGAGGGCATGGTGAGATGAGTGGAAGGAGGGCATGGTGAGATGAGTGGAAGGAGGGCATGGTGAGATGAGTGGAAGGAGGGCATGGTGAGATGAGTGGAAGGAGGGCATGGTGAGATGAGTGGAAGGAGGGCATGGTGAGATGAGTGGAAGGAGGGCATGGTGAGACACGAGTGGGAGGGGGGGATGTTGAGACAAGGGGGGAATGGTGAGACGAGTGGGAGGTGGGGATGGAGAGGGGGTGGTGCTGTGCTTGGTCCATCCATCCCTTCCCCCACTTTCCCTCTCCCCCTCCTTTCATTCCCCTCCCATCTTGCATCCCTTCCCCCAAGTCATTTTCCTTCCATATCCGGCTCGTCTTCAACCACCCTCTCCCTCCCATCATCTGCCCCTCTCTCCCTCCCATCATCTGCCCCTCTCTCCCTCCCATCATCTGCCCCTCTCTCCCTCCCATCATCTGCCCCTCTCTCCCTCCCATCATCTGCCCCTCTCTCCCTCCCATCATCTGCCCCTCTCTCCCTCCCATCATCTGCCCCTCTCTCCCTCCCATCATCTGCCCCTCTCTCCCTCCCATCATCTGCCCCTCTCTCCCTCCCATCATCTGCCCCTCTCTCCCTCTCATCATCTGCCCCTCTCTCCCTCCCATCATCTGCCCCTCTCTCCCTCCCATCATCTGCCCCTCTCTCCCTCCCATCATCTGCCCCTCTCTCCCTCCCATCATCTGCCCCTCTCCCTCCCATCATCTGCCCCTCTCTCCCTCCCATCATCTGCCCCTCTCCCTCCCATTGTCTGCCCCTCTCTCACCATCATCCTGCCCCACTCCCTTCTGTGCGCTGCTCTGCAGGACCTGACAGCGCCAAAGCCCAAGCAGGACAAGCCAGGCAGGCAGGGCAAGCAGAGACATGTGAGCCCACTGTTAACCCCTCTCCCCCACCTTCCTGCCCCTCTCCCATCGTGGTTTGCGCTGCTCTGCAGAACCTGACAGCGCCATAGCCCAAGCAGGACAAGCCAGGCAGGCAGGGCAAGCAGAGACATGTGAGCCCACTGATAACCCCTCTCCCCCACCTTCCTGCCCCTCTCCCATCGTGGTTTGCGCTGCTCTGCAGAACCTGACAGCGCCATAGCCCAAGCAGGACAAGCCAGGCAGGCAGGGCAAGCAGAGACATGTGAGCCCACTGATAACCCCTCTCCCCCACCTTCCTGCCCCTCTCCCATCGTGGTTTGCGCTGCTCTGCAGAACCTGACAGCGCCATAGCCCAAGCAGGACAAGCCAGGCAGGCAGGGCAAGCAGAGACATGTGAGCCCACTGATAACCCCTCTCCCCCACCTTCCTGCCCCTCTCCCATCGTGGTTTGCGCTGCTCTGCAGGACCTGACAGCGCCAAAGCCCAAGCAGGACAAGCCAGGCAAGAAGAGACAACTGGAGGAGCAGGAGAGGTAAAACGGCTTGTCACTCACCTGAAAGGAGCTTCTTTCATTCGCTACCCTCTATCACTTTCAGAGTGTGTGCATTATTTTTTAAAAAGAGCATGTTACTGATTGATGAAGGAGGAAATCACAATGGTGCTTCAGTGCTGCCTCTTCACCCTCTTCGCCCCGCCCCCTGTTCCCTGTGCCCCCTTCCATCTCCGACAGTTTCTTCCAGTGAATTGGTTAAATTTTAACTCCCTTGGCCCACCTCCTCCTTTTGTGCCCCTCCCCTGCAGCTTCTTCAAGTGGTTTGAAGTGGACGAAGCCACTCAGGGCACCTCACCACCCGATGATGTGAGTCGGAGTGGTGGGAAGAGAGGATGATGTGAGTCGGAGCGGTGGGAAGAGAGAGGATGATGTGAGTCAGAGCGGTGGGAGGGGGGGTGATGTGAGTCAGAGCGGTGGGATGATGTGAGTCAGAGCGGTGGGAGGGGGGATGATGTGAGTCAGAGCGGTGGGAGGGGGGATGATGTGAGTCATAGCAATGGTGATAGATATGAAGGATGATCAGGATTTTCCCCAGCCCCACTCCCTGCCAATCTTCCCATCACTCTTCCTCACTGCTCCTCCTGTCTCCATGGCAGTCCAACTATTTTTTCGAGGCACCCGGAAGAATAGAAATAATCGTTCTCACTGCTCTTTGCCTCTCCGCTCTGCCCCTTTGCCTCTCTGCCTCCCTGCCTCCCTGTCTCTCCCACACGAATGCGCCGCTGTGCCTCTGTGCGGTTGTCTTTTTTTTGGATCGACCTAAAAGCTGCCCCTCTGCCTCTCTGCATCCCTGTCTCTTCCACACGAATGTGCCTCTGTGCCTCTGCTCTGCTGTGGCAGGTGGCAGAGCTGATCAAGGACGATGTGTGGGTCAACGCGCTGCAGCACTACCTGCAGGTGCGAGGGGGCGGTTGTAGCCACGTGATTAAGGCAATATTTTGAGACGTCTCAAAATATCACTTTTTTCAAGGACGATGTGTGTGGTTCAACGCGCTGCAGCACTACCTGCAGGTGCGAGGGGGCGGTTGTATGGTGAACGGGCAGTTGGAGGGGGGGGGTGGGGGGGGGGGTGGGCAGGTAGGCGGATGCATGGGGAGGGTGACTGGGGAGGCATTGTGGTGAGTGGGGAGGGAAGGGTGGCAGGTGGCGGAACTGATCAAGGACGATGTGTGGGTCAACGCTCTGCAGCACTACCTGCAGGTGCATGGGGGGGGGGGTGGGAGGGGGGGGGGTGGAGGGGGCAGGGGAATGCGGATGGTGAATGGGGAGGGTGAATGGGGAGGATGAATGGGGAGGATGAATGGGGAGGATGAATGGGGAGGATGAATGGGGAGGATGAATGGGGAGGATGAATGGGGAGGATGAATGGGGAGGGTGAGCGGGGAGGGTGAGCGGGGAGGGTGAGCGGGGAGGGTGAGCGGGGAGGGTGAATGGGGAGGGAAGGGTGTATGAGTGAGTGAGGAACGAAGAGCTCTTGAGGTGTATCAGAACATCAGTGGCACTGCTTGTCATGTGGGAGTGTGATATTTTCATGTGCTAACTCCAACCCTCCCCTCCCCCCCCACCTTCCCCCACGCCACCTGTTGTATGGCAATGATTTTGCGTCAGCTCCTTGGGTGGGGAAGTTAATCTTTTTGTGCAGAACAGAAGCATTACTGCTTTCTGTGGTTTCTCCCTTGCTGATTGTACTCTTTCCCTCGTGCCATGGCGTTGCAGGAAGTGGAGGACTTCGAAGGAGATGAGGATGAGGAAGGGGAGGAAGGGGATGAGGGGGAGGAAGGGGAGGAGGACGACGATGAAGATGGCGATGGGGAGGAGGTGAGTTGTCTTGTCTGTACATTACGTTACTTGTTGAAATTCTCTTCTTTCTTTTCCACATCCAGCTTCAAGCCTGCTAAGGTGAGCTGTCCATGTTTGGAGGTTATCAATATTCATGGGGTGAGTAGAGTAGTTGAGTGAGACTGTAAAATCATGGTGGGTAAGGGCATGTTCCTACGCTCTTATCAGGCAAACCTCTTGTCAGCCTTGCCTGGTAAAAGTAGCGAGGGTTTTCGGGTTTAGGGAATTTTCAGTGTGTTTTGACGCAAGCTTGATAAGAGGTTGGCCTGATAAGGGGCCGTAGGAACATGCCCTAAGTGAATCTGTCATTGAATGCATGTCTTCATCACCAACCATTTTGTCTCATTACCAACCATTTTGTCTCATCACCAGCCATTTTGTCTCATCACCAGCCATTTTGTCTCATCACCAGCCATTTTGTCTCATCACCAGCCATTTTGTCTCATCACCAGCCAATTTTATCTAACGATAATTTGCATGTTCCCACTTTGCTCTCCATAGCAGGAGGCAGAGGAAGCTGAGGGATGAAGCCTGAAAGCTTTTCACCTTGCATGGCACACTCAGGTCAGGTTCTGGTTCTTTTTTCCCCAGTGGGAAAGGATTAGGATTAGGGCTCAGCTCAGTAGGCCGCTTTCAGCGGCTGCCATTTCAACAAGTGGGATGGGTAGTACATGATGCACTCTGCACGCCTACCTTCATTCCAACCACTCACTCTTTCGTTCCTAGGAGACATTATGCTGTGCGCAGTGCATAGAGGGTTGCTGGCCTAGTAGCATTGTGTTGCAATGCATGTTTTAGATTGAGCAATTTGGTGTATGGCAAGCTGCCATGGAAGGTCACAAACTTGCACAAATGCACAACAGCTGGCTGACTGTACAACACCACCACGTCAAACTAGACTGCCTTGTCTAAGTTGTACGGTAATTGGGCTACACAATTCTGTCTACCAGTTCTTCCATACACCCCAGCCCAGGGGAACCTTGGCAAACTGCCCTTGGGCAACCCCCGCGGACAGGCTAGCAGAGGAAATGATAGAATAGAAGTTCTTAGGCTTAGCAGCAATGGCCTCAAACACTGCCTTGTAGCTCTTCCCATTGGCTGCTGTCAGGCCACTCACGTTCTGCCACGTGCCATTGAAGCTGTAGGTGTAGACAGGCACGGCAGCAGGCTTGGCGCCGATCCCGAACCTCCTTGCGCCCTGCCCCCAGGCGTTCCCTGATGCAATGGCTCCTACGGTACCAGTAACGTTAATCCACGTGGCAGAAGGTGAGAGGTCGAGCACGACAGCGCCTGAGGTCTTGGCTGCCCCGCTGTTGATGGTAACTGTGGTTGGGACCTCTGGCGAAGAAACCTGGATGGTTACATTGTAACGAATGTCAAAAGTGGAGGTGTTGGTTTTGATGAGGGCGAGGCTGACGCGACCAGCAGAGTTGACGTCGCCGGTAACTCGGCCGGTCTGGTTGACTATATTGACGCCCAGGAGAACCGACTCTACTGCGCCTGCGATCTTGGGCGGGAACTTGTACTTGGCGCTGTTAACGTTGGGTTTCTGGCAGGCAACTTGCGAAATGGCAAGGAGAGACAGAAGGACAACAGACAGGGCTGTTTTGCTGAAACCCATGGCTATGAAACACGGGTCGGATCAGTTTGGGAAAGAGTAGGCGAGGTCTTCAGGGCTGTGTTTGCTGAAGATAGCTAAGGAGCTTGCGCAGAAAGAAAGTAGTGCAGATCGAGATTGAATGCTTTTGCTGTGTCTTCAAGACTCTGGTGGTTCCAGATTTATACATCCTGGTTCTCGAATGGAGCAATTTCTATGCCGAGTCGGGCTGTTGAAAGCCCGCGCCGCGTGAGGCTGTGGACGACATGGGACAACGCACCGTCTGTGAGTGGGCGATTTGTTTGACGGTGACGCGGTTGCGTTGGGCGGAACCTGGTTTCGTAGGAGCATGCGAAGCTCGCAATCCACTCGTGCAGATTGTCGCGACTTCATAACCACCAGAAGGCGGCTTCCATTTCTGGTTGCCGACAGTCGGTCTGTGTCGCACCTACGCTCCAACGATGGAGCTAGCTCTTCGCTCGGCGCCGTCAAACTGCTCGAGCGAGTTCGGGAGTAACTTCACGATAACCTCGTTACCGCCAGCTTTGTATGTGACCTTGTTACTGTAACAGCTTCCCATGTGAATGTCATACGTGGCGTGGTGTTATCGTGTTGGATCCCTACTCCACTCTCATTGGGTGGTATTGAATCCAGATGTCCTATACTGGATGGATAACCATGCTTCATCTGGGATCCCGAAATGGTGTAACTTTGTGTCCTCGCGTGCTTCGCAATCTCCATATTCGTCCTGGCTTGTGACCCTCGCATATGTGAGATTGGGTAACATATTGTGTCGAGTGAAGATGCGAAACCTAGACAAACCAGAAATATTCCAAACCCCCAGTTGGCAAGGCAGACTGTGGATGCCACATCTCCGCCACACGTACAGGTCGAGGTTGTCGTCAGGCCAATCAACTTTTGGGAGACACTTCTGCCGAGCCTCAACCAGCCAATATTGGGATACCAATTAGCCTCTGATCTCCCCAAACCACTTCCGAACGTATGGTTTTGAGCCAAATCACACTATTGCCATACCTCATTTGGAGCCATTTTGACTGCGAATGTCCGAGCCTCGTCAGTCAGTCAGTCAGTCAGTCACAGCAAAAGAGCTTCCCTTTTCCTCACAACGTCATGAGAGATGATAGGTAAGCCGCGGTTTAAAGCGGTGATCATTTTTGCCGCTTCAAAAAGTACAGCATCGTACTCAACCATTGCCTCAAACCCGATAGCATTTCACTCGATGGGCATGCTTGGCCTTCTCCCTTCAGCAGTCACCTCCTCCTTCAGCATATCAGCAGGAGCCTTGGTAGTGTCACCTGGCTGCGGTCATTGTGTGGCTCTTATTCCCGAGTCTCCTGTGCCGATCGCGCTTAGGCAGCTGATCGGTTTTTTCCTTCACACTGCGAAAACGTTCTGAATTGCCCAACATAACGTAGCAGTGTGCAGCAATTTTTCCTCCGGCGCCGCTGTTCATTCTCGTTGTAAGGCTCAGAGATCGTCGTATCCTATCGACCTAATCAGCGAAAATTTAATCAACGGTCAGGATGGTTGGGATGCAGATCGACGAGCTCCTGGCTTCAGACGAGCATGCCGTCGCCAAGACTAAGATCATCTGCACGCTCGGACCGCGTTCCCGCGAAGTCCCTATTCTGGAGAAGCTGCTACACGCGGGTATGAGCGTCGCGCGCTTTAATTTCTCCCACGGGTCGCACGAGTACCATCAGGAGACCCTGGATAATCTTCGCACCGCTTCCGCCAACACCGGCATCATGTGCGCCGTTCTGCTGGATACCAAGGTAATTAGAAGCTCGTGATAAGTAATTAATGCTTATGCGCGAATGACGACCCTCTTCCATATTTCACTTGAACTTCATCATGTGTTTCTGCAGGATATGTTTGATTGGTTTGTTTGCTCTTCTGTCAAAACTATACGGACAGTTAGCCTTACTATTGGATTTAATCAGCTGTGGCCCTGTTGTACAGAGCTCTTTTAGAGCCCTTACGCTCCAGGCAATGATGGAAATCACTTTTGAGAATTCTCAAAAGCCCTTACGCTCCAGGCAATGATTTCCTTACTCCGCTTGACACGGAGTGACAGATGTAAATCGCCGTCGCTCCCACCAACGGCTATGTCCGCAGACCACCCCGCCTTATCGCCGTCCTATCCGCAGCATGCTCGTTTAGCTGCGCACGGGGCTCTTCTGGAACTGCACAGCTGCACAGCGGGCATGACCTCGCGCGCGAACCCTATCCCCCGCAACCCCATTCTCATCCACGCCAACCATCCCCCCTCCCCCTCCCTCAAGTCCTAAAAACATTCGACGTATGATTCCAATCCCCCCCCCCCAACCATTTCCTCCCTCCCTTCCCCGTTTTCCCCACTCCCCTCCCTCTCTCCCCCTCCCCTCCCCAGGGTCCGGAGATCCGCACGGGGTTCCTGAAGGACGGCAAGCCGGTGCAGCTGGTGAAGGGGCGCGAGGTGACGATAACGACGGACTACGAGGCGCTGGGCGACGAGAACACCATCGCCATGAGCTACAAGAGCCTGCCCAGCGACGTCAAGCCGGGAGGCCAAATTCTCTGCGCCGACGGGTCCATCACACTCAGCGTGCTGTCTTGCAACCCCGCGGAAGGGTGAGTGAGAGAAGGTGGTGCTCCACTTGGACATTATGTAGGCGCTGATCGACGAGAACTGGGCGACGACAACTGGGCGACGACAACTGGGCGACGACAACTGGGCGACGAGAACTGGGCGACGAGAGCACCATAGCCATGAGCGCTACAAGAGCCTGCCCATAGACGTCAAGCCGGGCGGACAGATTCTCTGCGCCGACGGGTCCATCACGTTCAGCGAGCTCTCAGTCTCATGCAAGCTCAAGGGACGATGAGAAGCTGGTGCTGGTTGTGGGTATCATCGCCTCAATGGCGTGGACTCGGGGTCCATCACGCTCAGCGTGATTGTGTATCCCCAAGGACAAGCTGACGTTTGAGTTGGCTCAAAATTCAAGGAAAGTGGAGAGGCCGGTGGCAGATGCAGGAAGGGCGGGAATTCAATGCTTCATACGTTTACTTTTCTGCTCTTGCTCCCCTAAGCTTCCCCACACCCCCCTCCCCTCCCTCCCTCCTCCCCCCTTGCCCCTTCTCCGTTCCATCTAACGACTGGCAGCACGGTGCGGTGCCGATGCGAGAACACGGCAGTGCTGGGCGAGCGCAAGAACGTGAACCTGCCGGGGGTGATAGTGGACCTTCCCACGATTACCAGCAAGGACGAGGCGGACATCATGGGGTGGGGCGTGCCCAACCGCATCGACTTCATTGCTGCCTCCTTCGTGCGCAAGGGGTCGGACCTTGGGATCATCCGCAAGCTCCTGGGACCAAAGTTCAGCAAGTCCATCCAGATCATCTCCAAGGTGAGATGACACGCACAGGTTCGGCACAGGAAGCTCATCCAGATAATTTTAACGGGGAGATGAACCGGACTTGTTCAGTTTATCATGTCCGTTCGGATCATCGTCAAGGTGACACGAGTTTCACAGGTCTGGTATGTCAAGTTCATCCAAGTCATCTTAAAGGCTGAAATAATCTGAAAGTCGATGATTATCGAACCAAACCTCCTTCAGGTAAGATGGTTCAGTGAGGCTAATAGACGTGCACAATGGGAATGTGCGGGCTAGTGATTCATGTTCTGCGAAAACAAGATGATGTCATGTTCACCTCATGATTCATTTGCTGTTGTCATTATGCCGTGTCCTTTTATGATAGGTGGAGGACCAGGAGGGGCTGGTGAACTTTGACGACATTATGCGCGAGTCAGATGACATCATGGTGAACTCATAGCATTCTGTGCTCTTGTTGCCCTTTGTGCCGTGTCTCTGTTTCCCTTGCACTCCCCCTGAGCAGGTTGAGAACCAGGAGGGGCTAGTGAACTTTGACGACATTCTGCGCGAGTCAGATGACATCATGGTGAACTTATCAATAATGTTTTGCGCCTTTGTTACCCTGTGTGCTGTGTCTTTGTTCCCCCCTGAAAAGGTGGAGAACCAGGAGGGGCTGGTGAACTTTGATGATATTTTGCGTGAGTCAGATGGCATCATGGTGGCTCGAGGCGACCTGGGCATGGAGATCCCCATTGAGAAGATCTTCCTCGCGCAGAAGATGATGATCCACAAGTGCAACGCTGCAGGTGAGTGATATTTTTGTATCGAATCGTACTCTAAAGAGGTGTTTAGTGTAGGGTATGGAGATCCCCATTAAGAAGATCTTCCTCACACATAAGATGATGATCCACAAGTGCAACGCTGCAGGTGAGTGATATTTTTGTATCGAATCGTACTCTAAAGAGGTGTTTAGTGTAGGGTATGGAGATCCCCATGAAGAAGATCTTCCTCACACATAAGATGATGATTCACAAGTGCAACGCTGCAGGTGAGTGATATTCTTGTATCGAATCGTACTCTAAAGAGGTATTTAGTGTAGGGTATGGAGATCCCCATTGAGACGATCTTCCTCACACATAAGATGATGATTCACAGGTGCAACGCTGCAGGTGAGCGACAGATGCCAGGGCAAATGCCAGACAGGCCAGTGGCAAACAAATTCCAACAAAAAGAGGCATTTCACAAACAGCACCACGTGTCCACTATCACACCCCCCCCCCCCTTCCCCCCCCCCCCCCCCCCAACTGTCCTATTTCCTCCAGGCAAACCCGTGGTGACGGCCACGCAGATGCTTGAGTCCATGACCAAGTCCCCCTCCCCACGCATGCCGAGGCGACGGACGTGGCGAATGCAGTGCTGGACGGCACCGACGCCATCATGCTGTCGGGGGAGACGGCTGCCAGCACATGGCCTGTGGAGGCCGTGACTGTGATGGCACGCATCTTTGAGCCGACTCAAACTGCACTCCCACCTTCCCTGGTCCCTGCTTCCCTCCCTCCCTCCCTCCCTTTCCTCTCCAGGCAAGCCCGTGGTAACGGCGACCCAGATGCTCGAATCCATGACCAAGTCCCCCCGCCCCACGCGTGCCGAGGCGACGGACGTGGCGAATGCAGTGCTGGACGGCACCGACGCCGTCATGCTCTCGGGGGAGACGGCCGCCGGCTCATGGCCCGTGGAGGCCGTCACCGTCATGGCGCGCATCTGCCGGGAGGCAGAGGCATCGCTGGACTACCATTCCATCTTCAAGACCATCATGGCCGAGGCTGCCATGCCCATGAGCCCTCTGGAGAGTCTGGCTTCTTCAGCCGTGCGCACCGCCAACAAGGTGAGCTTCATTTCATGATTTTCCTCACCTGTCAGACATCCCCATCCTCCGTCTCCCCACCCTACCGTTTTTTGCCTTCTCCCTCGCTCTTCCATGCCTCCCCCTCCCCGTTCTCCCTCCACCCCTCTCCCACTCCCCCCCCCCCCGGCCTACTTGACTCAGTGCCAAACTCCACCCTCTCCACCCTCATCCCCCACCCCATGCCATGGTGCCATGCCGCCCCCCAGGCACGTGCGGTGCTGATCATTGTGCTCACTAGGGGAGGCTCCACGGCCAAGCTAGTGGCCAAGTACCGCCCGCCCATGCCCATCCTCTCTGTAGCCGTCCCCGTTATGACGTCCGACGACCTCACGTGGACTATCAGCGATGAATCTCCCGCCAGACATGCGCTGGTGTGCCGCGGACTCGTCCCGTTGCTGGCAGAAGGGGCTGCTAGAGCCACGGATTCGGATACGACTGATGAGCTTATCTCTGCGGCATTGAGAGCGGCCAAGCAGAGGGGGTTCTGTCGCGAAGGGGAGTCGGTGGTTGCGCTTCATCGCATCGGGAATGCGGCTGTTATTAAAATCATCTCGGTGAAGTGATGTGGAAGACTTGACAGATTTTATTAGACATTTTCTTCCACTCTCTACTACCTCCGGAATCTAGTCCGGAAGTTTCGTAGTTTCTTGCCAATTAGGCGTGCTTGAGTTTGGGAACATTGGAACAAAGATCCAAACTGTTCCAATTTTTATCACTCAGCTAAGTGTTTGCTTGTAGAGGAATCGTTTTCATCTCGCATCAGGAGGTTCAAGTGCGACAGTTATTGGTTGCGGAGATAGTTACATGCGAGCATGAATTTGTGAGTTCTCCAGGCAAACGTGCGTCCGCTCCCTCCCCCCCAACTTTTCGTCAATTCGCATGCACGATTCTCATCTCACCTTACGAAGGGATGGCGACTCGCATCGACAAACCGGACAGGCAGGCACAACAATCTCGAGGCACCGACATTTCCAGACGACAAGTGAGGAACTAGACGACTACAACATCGTACTGTATGCGAAAACCATCGCCGGAAATTTGTGATACCCACCCCTCCTCTCCAAAACTATGCGCGAAAACCATCACCGGAAATTCCGCCAAACCAAAATGCGGAGCGCGCGAAGTGACACAACCAATCAAACGCGGTCCGATATTTCATCACCTCAACAATCTCCATCATCAAATTCCCGATCTTCGGGGAAAATTCTCCGTCCAGAACCTTACTCCATCCACGTCGACTTTTCCTTAGTTTTGCCCGGATCAAATTCAGAATCTGTAGTATTATTCGTCGCTTTGACTCCCATTGTCTCCAAAATGCGGCATTCAAGCATGGTCATCGCGAGACGGACACTGTTAAGCATCGGCATTCTCCTCCTGCTTTCAGGTACCTGAAACAATGCCTGCACGCGACTCGCGTATGGTGCAGAAAAATGATTCCGCGACTACCGCTGCTCGTGCTGTGTAGCTCTCTTACTCATTGCGCATGCACCAATATTTCATGCAGGCGCTTTAGCAAAAGAGAACGGAGGTGGCGGCGGGAAGGGGAAACGCAGTGGGAATGCTAAAGAGGGCGGGGGTGGCAAGGGAGCAGTGAAGGGCAAGGGCGGCAAACTGTTTGGCTTCTTGGGCGGCCGGACCCGCGTTCTCGGTGAGTGAATTTGTCGTTTTCGTGAATAGCCTGTACGCTGGGGTGAAATTTCCTTAGTATGATGCCTGTCGGAAAGATTGTATCTAGCAGTGTTGTTTTCGCAAGCAAGTGTAACGCGCATCACGATAACCTTTCACGACGTGGTTACGCGCGCAGGCTCGGTGCAAGCGAAGCTACAAGGAAAATTCGTGGTGGACGATATGGGCGCCAGCGCGGGTGCTCGCAACGCGATTGGCACACTGACTTTGGTTTCACTCAGGTACGACCGAGATTCTAGTATTTTGTGTCGTCTCTTGCGCGTCCTTCTTTTCAATCTAAAATCATTGGCTCTGGTTTCGCTCAAATACGGCTGAGATTTGAGCGATTCGTGTCGTCTGCTCCACAGCGGTGGTCGCGGCCTTAAATTCAGTGCTTAGTCAGTGACAGACAATTGATTGACGAGAGGTGGACGCCTCGAATCACGCCAGATCACTGCTTCCCGCGCACAATCGCTCTTCTCCTTTCACTCTGTCCCCTGGCATCCCGCTCCCCTCCCTCTCCCCACTTTCTCGCCTCCTTTCTCCTTCCCTCTGCGCTCCCTCACGCCTTCCCCACGCCTCCCTCCTCCAGCAACGGAACCATCACATTCTCAGCACGACTTGATTTCTCCGAACCCGACCTCCCTTCCTCCATCTCCATCAACACAGCCGCGTTTCGAGTCGACTCACAACTATCCTTCCTCTCGCCTCCCCTCCCCTGCCCCTCGTCTCCCCACTCCAGCAACGGAACCATCACATTCTCTGCACGCCTTGAGCTGCCCCATCCCGACCTCCCTTCCTCCATCTCCATCAGCACAGCCGCGTTCTGAATCGACTCTAACGCACCTATCTCTCGCCTCCCCTTCACCTCCCCCCTTCAGCAACGGAACAATCACATTCTCAGCACGTCTTGAACTGGCCCAGCCCGACCTCCCTTCTTCCATCTCCATCAACACAGCCGCCAAAGGCGCGACAGGGGACGTCCTTATCGACCTCTCATCTGAAGCCACGTGGCAGAACGTTACTGACATGGTCATCATAGCCAAAATGGCCAAGCCTGGGTTTGGTTTGGATCGGCCGGACCGGAATCCGTACGTGTATGTTTTCAAAGGGTCGTGGAAACATGCAGCAGCTTTGACTACTACAGACGGATCGACTTATAAAGAGGTGTTTGATGAAATTAGCAAGACGCCTGCAGCATTTTATGCGACTGTTGAGACGGAGAGGTTTATTTATGGTGCTGCCCGCGGGCAGTTTGCTAGGCCTAGCCGTGGGTTGGGCATCTTCAGAAAGGCCCGCAGTTGAGAGAAGCGTGAACGTGCATGTTTCTGGGAAAATTTCTCCCTCTAGTATCTTGCGCTATGTAGGTCGTTCTGGCCTGGCCTGCCACATACTGCACTGCTGCCCACACTTGCCCTCAGCTCTCAAACTCTTAGCCAACTGCTTTTCAGCCCACAGCAACACTCCCAACGCGGGACCCACTGCTATCTCTTCAATCCGGTAAACTTCTGGGACAGGAAGAATCCCTGTACTAATATTCCTGATGAATCCCTGAACTTTTTGAAGAGCCACTTTTCGCCCATTGCCCGCCTTTGTCATAACCAAACAATGGTGCGCAACTGCTGCACGCCATTACATTTTTTTTTGCGTATTATCTCCCAGTTTTAACAAACTATGGATCAGGATTATACGGTATTTGTTAGACTTCTTATTAGTTGAAAACACCTACACACACATACAAATAAGCAGGCCTGGTTGCACTGGGAGTTTGTATATTGTATTGGATCAGTGTTGATGGATTACATCCCAGCGCGGGTTCATGGGGTGTGTGATGGTTTGGAGGAAATGATGGTTGGGGGAACCCATGGGAAGTGGGGTGAGCAATCAGCAGCAATGCCCGAACCTATTCAAGGTTTCGTGATCAAATCAAGCAGTGCTCAGTTGGAAAGCCGCGGTCTAAACAGCACTGCGGACTAAGGGCGCGTCCCCTCCCTCGATCGATCCTGCCCTCGATCGATCGAGGGACAGATACAGTGGCGCAATTGACAAGGTAACCAGTTTTCGAGACTGCTTGCGAATGTACAGTAACTGGCGCTCAACGATCTTGTTACCTCCGCTGATGACGATCGATGTGCCTTCCTGGCCACACCGATCTCGGCTTTTGTAGGATCGCGTGTTTTTCCCCCTTGTATTTTCGATCCTGTCACCCAGGGCTCGAGATCGATCCGCGAGTGTCACCTCCTACCAATCCCGCCCCAATCCTGCGATCGGTGTGCCCGATCGGTGTGCCCGAACGGTGTGCCTGGACACAGCGATCTCGCGATCGATCGAGGGAGGGGACGCGCCCTAAACATCACTTTCAGCCCATGAAGTCCCTCTGTTTTCTGCACCTGGCCAGATCCGAATTCTCGAAATGCTGCAGACGAGCAAAAGCAACATTTTTTTTGCACGCGCGCCCGACCCTTCCCTCCTGCAAGATAGACTGCACAATGCGCGCACCACTTCTGCTCGGTGCTGCTCGGTGTTGGGTGTTCGGCGCACATTGCATCCCTGAGCCGCTGACGCCTGCAGCGCCACCCAGCGCCCATGCTGTTTGGGCAGCACCACCCACCGCCACCACCCTCGATTCCTGCGCACTGAACACCTTCGTCGAAGTCCGGTGGCGATTGGCCACAGTCGTTATGGCACTGTTCACTCCCACTAAATAAAATCAACAAGTCCACAACCGGACATATCCCCGACGCCGGTAAGGTGCACACTGCACATATCCCCGACGTCGTACCATAGTCATAACATAGAAGGCTGATTCACGGAGTTGCCGTGCTGTTGCGTCATTACACGCGGGTTGGTGGCCCTTAAAGTGACACAAACCAATAAAAATTCGCCACGACGATGGCTTACCACATCAGCTTACAGCATCTTGAAGATTCTGCGCTGGAAAGCGGACGGCCAGGGCGACAGTGGTGGGCCCTACTAGGAGACGACGAAAGTTGCCAAACAAAGAGCCCTTCGGTTCTGTCGGCGCCAAAATGGCCGTTCCAAAGGCGCGTGGGAAGCGGATCGCGCAAGTACAACTTAGGAGCAGAGTTTCTGTTCCTCCGCACGACGAATGTTTGTCGATCTTGTTTCCTTGCAACAAACTAACGACAAACCTCTCCATGTCGGTCTCGCACGCGCCGATGGGCGCGCGTGACGCGGCGGACGAGTGGTCGTTTGGGCTTTTCGTCCTCGTCAAAACCTCTCATCCTAGCCGCTCCTTCCTTGCAGCCGCGAAAGCGAGGGCAAAAAAAAATCCGAAGGCGCTCGTTGCTGTCTGCACTGCAGTGCATCATCGTCGAATCACGCCCAACGGTCGCGTCGCGAGCCGTCCCTACATGGCATTCGGGCGGACAGCTTCATGTCCGGAAACTATCGCATTTCAAATGTCAGTGTCATCCCGCCGACGTTCCGATAAGTGTTCACATCATACCGCACCACTACATTGCCACTGCTCGTGTCGTGAGCTGCGATTTACATCCCAATCTGGCCTCTGAATTTCGCTGCATGGTACCTCTTTCGTGGCAGCTTCAACATTGATGAACAGAGAAAAATTGCGGCGCGTCAAGGAACACAACACGTCACGATGACAGCTTTAGAAGCGAGAAAGGCGGTGTGAGTGCAGAGATGCATTCCGCCGATGTTTCGGGTCAAGAATATTGCTCATGGCCGCTTGGACTATTTCTACTTTAGGTACCGTCTTCCCCTCTGCTGTTGCCGCATATTTTTGTCCAAGTTGCCAGTGCGATGGGCTCTGATAGTGACGCGCAGGCGACGGAGGAACTTGTTGATGCAAAAAAACTCGAAAATTCGTCAGTTCGTTTCGCCAACGCAGCGATTTCCTTAGGCGAAATGAGCAGAGGATTTCGCGGTTCACAGCAATCATCCCCGAGATCGTCACACACGGGTTTCCAAGAAAGAAAGGATTTACGTCCCAGATGGGGCTCGATAGGTTTAGGAGCGCGAGGTTGCGAAGATCCAGCTTCCAGTCCGGCGAAGGGTAGTCGCTATGCCGCGGTTTGCGGTGAAGAAAGCGGCTCGTCTAGCGCCGCCGCACCTGGACGCCGCGAAACGTTTAGGGGATCATTGACGGACGAACTGAAGACGGTGACGGACGAACTGAACGCAATCCTTCATTCAGCTCCGGTCCAACGTGACGTTATCGGAAAGGCGGGTGGTACTAGCCTGCGAGGTACGGCGGAAGTTGCGGACTGTTTCAGCGAAGGCAATCGGGAAGTGGTAACGAAGCAGCTACAATTGCAACAACAAATGCTGCAGCACCAGCAGCAGCAGCACCACCACCACCAGCAGCAGCAGCAGCAGCAGCAGCAGCAGCAGCAGCAGCAGCAGCAGCAGCACCAGCAATACAGGCATCAGGAACAACGTCAGCTGATGATTGGCGAGCTGGCGAAAAACTACCACCTGCTTGGTAACTCGCACCCTAAGGCTCAGCTGCAGGAAAACCGCCCTCCGCTCGTGCGAGCGCTGGTGAAGCGCAATGGAGAAGATGAGATTCGGGGTGGTCGCGCGGAGATGAGCAAAAGGACGAAATGGAGTCCATCGGACGGTGGAGAAACTCAGCAGCGAGGTCGTTGCTCCAATGTTTCAAATGACACAAATGTACAGCCGCTAGAGCGCTTGATGAGGCAGCCAATATCGTGGATGAATCCAAACGCACAGCCAAGCCAGCAGATTGATCAGCCAAAAGTGATCCCACAGCCAAACCAGCTTGTCCCTGCACTTCCGACGCAAGTACCCAGTAACGAGGATATTTTTTACAGTGTGACTGCCAGACCATTTGATTCTTTACAGCCCTTGGCATGTTCAGACGCTCCGGATGCAATAAAGATTCGAGAGGAAGGGGGAGAAACAAATGGGTTGCTAAGCCAAGCACAAATACAGCAGCTGCTGCTGGCTGCATTGATGGACGAAACACCCTTGCCTCCGCCGGACAACAAAACCAGCACCCTTTTCCCTGACTCCTGCCGTCAGGGTCCTGTCAAACCTGCTGCTTTCCCGAATAGTGCCACCATCTCTCCTGCTGTTGCCACTCCTCTGGTTGATGGTGATTGGAACGACAATGCAGTTTATGCTGTGAGAAGTGTCGCGGGTGGTGCTGCTGGTGGTGCTGCTGGTGGTGCTGCTGGTGGTGCTGCTGGTGGTGCTGTTCTTGGTACGGTAAGCTGGGCTGTAGGATTGGAGGCTACAGATGCAGATGTTGATGCTAACGGTACTGGTGTTGTATGTGCAAGCACAGCTGCTGCTGCTGTTAACATTAGCAGTGCTGCTACAGGCCCAGGTGGTGGTGCTGCGAGAACGGGTGGTGCTGCTACAGGCATCCCCGTTGCTGTGGCCAGCACGGGACTCCCCAGGGGAGGCGCAACTGCTGCGAGGGATGCCCACAGGAGCTTGCTGCTGGAGACAACTCGAGCCACGGCATCAAAGTCAGGGAGCGACGGGAGTGACAGGGGCAACCGTGGGGGCTTGGAGAATGTGGGGCGGAGGTTGCTGCGTGAGACTCCTCAAACCACGACGTCCAAGTCAGGGAGCGATGGGGGCGATCCGGGTGCAGTGGGGGGGAGCGCAGGGAGGAGGTCGATGCATCCCCGGGCTGCAAGGGACAAAGAGAGGAGGCGACGCATGGCGTACGTTTCTGTCTGTGCTTATAGTCAGCTGTCACATGATCTCGGGTCCTTCCCTTGCACGTCATGTGTCTGCTTTCATCAGTGCACTTCACCCTCTCTCCGCTACCCTTTCCTTCTATGGGGCTTAATACTTTCACCTGTGAACTTGGAGTTCCCCCTCTCTCATTCTGGTACGGTGTTCTGGCCTTTCTGTCTATGATCTGCGTTTCCAACGCATGTGCTGCAGTGAGTCGCTTCAGTCTCTCAGGGCCATCCTGCCAGCTGGCACCCTCGGGGGGCAGCAGGACTTCGGCTCCATCATCGGCGCTGCAGCACAGTATATAAGAGGCTTGGAGGTGAGCACAGTAAATGTGTGTGCGTGTGTGTGTGTGTGTGTGTGTGTGTGTGTGTGTGTGTGTGTGTGTGTGTTTTCTCTCATACCATGCACTTGAAACATCAGCAGTGCATTTCACTCTCATGAAGCTGCGTTGCAGCAAGCCGCAGCAGGATTTTGTGACTAAACCCTCGCATATGACTACTGTCCACTTGGTTTTTGCTTCAACATTTAACGAGCTCACATTGCTTGCCACTCTATGGCCACATTGTCTCTGTATGTCTCTCTTCATGTGCACAGACACGCGTGCG